AATCACGCGGTGCGAGTTACTTTTTTGACATGGGGCTCGAAAGTGAGCCTTGTGTCAAGGGTGATCAAGTATTTTTATTCTTTTGCCAGGGGACTGGGGTTCCTAACATCCGGATTGGCGGAATGGTAGTGGGAAGGCGTCCTTTATGTTCGAAGCAATCGGCGGAGCTCTTCTCCGGGTTTACATCGATACGCCATTTTTGGAACGAAGCTCCTAAGTCAATAACTGACTTTTGGATCTTGTTCCGGATAAATAGTAGTGATGTACCTTTATAATAGAGGGCAGTGTCATTGGCAAAGAGGTAGAGTTGAATACCATTCGCCAGGATGGGAATGTCGTTGTTGAACAGTATATATAGAAGAGGGGCTAGCACGGAACCCACCACCTCCCACCGACCCTCAGGTCATACGGGCCGAATCTCGGGAGATGCACACGGTACTTGCACGTGGCTCTTTACCGCGCGCACACTCTTGACTCACTACAAATATTCAATCTCTTTATTGTCCCAATTTTAACATCACTCTCCCCCTTCTGGAGCTGACGGCACAATAACGCCTACGTCGTTGGGCCTTCCTACCAGTGTAGTCTCTTGCCTTGCTTTCCGTTGATGCCATCTGTGCGCAAACTCGCGCAACAGCCCGTAGTTCACACCATCGCTAACGAGATCCGAGTAGTAGATTGGTCCTTGTATCATTCGAACTAGTCCATCCATCATTTTCGTTCTAAGGTCGTCATACAAAAAACATTCTCATTGAACATGGTGAACATACTAGTGTCACACAATCTCATGTCGCACAGTCTCTTCCGAAAACATCCATGCCCGGTGAGAATCTGGGATGTTTGGTAGTCCGGTGAGACCCAGGTATACCTGAGTCTCAACGCCACCTACAGGAAAAATCGATATAGCTCGCATTCTTTTATTTCATTCATCCATCGATCCTGCCAGGCGCCGATCACCTCAGTCCAGATTTCGCGCTTTCGTCTGCTCAACTCCTCTTTGGTCGCGGTCAAACGTGACATACCCATCCTACCAGCACGAATGACCTTCAGGTCAGCAGGGAGAACGCCAGCCAGCACCGGTATAGCCGCCGTGTTGGTAAATCGGTACTCCTTGGTCAACAATACAAGGGCGGATCGTTGCGATCTCAGTAGTACGCTACGGACTATGTACATGTTCGCTCGCTCGTACCGGCACACTGCCGCATACGTAAGCGTGGATACAAACACACCTCTGTATATAATTTTTAAACTCGGGTATCGCTCACCCAATAACGATGAACGCGAGTAATTTTGCCGAATCCCTTAGTCGCTCTTTCAGAGATATCAGATGCGTGTTGCACAAACGATAGTCCCGAGTCCAAAACCACGCCTAGTACCTTAGCGTTAGTCACAGTCTTTATAGGTTCCCCACCAAGTTTAATAACGGGGGGGCGTTGAAGTTTCCCTCTAACTGTCCAAAATCCTAGCTAGCACGGAACCCTGAGGGACACCGGCTTGGATGTAACGAGGGGAGAAGAGCGTGCCTTCGTGTCTGAAACGAACGGTACGACTCTTCAAGTAGGAGGCCACGAGACGGGCCCCATGGCCTTAAGGTGATGGGACGGTGACTGGAGGTGAGGTGGTTAGGCTTGCCTAGCTTGAGAATGCCAACAGTTGCCTCTTTCCACAAGGTGCGAAAGTAGCTGATATCGAAGCAGGCGTTTAGGATTATAGCCAATAAGGTGACCTGCTCCGGAAAATATTTAAGGGCTTGGTTGGAGATGCCATCCGCACCCGGCGCCTTTTTGGATTTCTGTCCTTTGATAGTGGATGAAATCTAATCTTTGGACACAGTGATAGGGTCAGAGGTAGTGGGGGGTGAATTCCGGCGGCGGACCTCATCCTCCACTGCCTGGATGTGAAAGGGGTCGGTGGCATGTACGCTGGGTGAGCATTGCGTGGCGACGCTGTCTGCAAAGCACTCTGCCTTTTTATCGTCCTCGAAGGCATTAGATCCGTCGGGACGAGAGAGAGGGGATGGGGAGCGTCTATGCGAAGGGATTTCGCTATCTGGTAGTACGCTATATGTGAGGGGGAGATATTCACCACGAGTTTACTCTTTTCGAGATCTCTTAGTTCGGAAAGGCGTGAACGGACTTTCCGTTGAAGACGATTGGCCGTACGCCTATAGTCGGGGGTGGGGTAGAGTGCAGCTCTCCGAGGAGCAGCTCTCTTGGCTCTTATGAAGTTGCTAACATCTGTGGAAGACTATTTTAATTAGCAACCGGGACAACCCAGGAGGATATGAGGGTGGTGAAAGAATCAACGGCGGTGTCAATTTTTTCAGTGCTGTCGAGGACTTTGGAAGAGAGAGTGATGGGGGAGTTCGGAGAGTCCATAGCTGATGCTAAGGACTCCCTGAAGCCCTTCCAGTCGGTGAAGATTTTGGAGTAGGGAATTGGAGGAGGTGGCTGATGGCCAAGAATGAAGGAGACAGGACGTTGGTTAAATCCTAGATTATCGAGAGTCTCGATTGCTCTGAGGTTGAGGGAAACTCTTCTTATTAGCGCAAAGTCTAGCACGTCAGGAGCATGGTCGCGGCATTGTCGAGATAGTGAGTGACAGCAAGGGGGCTGTTGACGGTAAGGTCGAGAGACTGAGTGATATCAAACAGTTCCTTGTCACTACGAGTAGTAGAGACAGGTCCATTCAGTATGCTTGGAGTTAAAATCTCCAAACAATGACTGAATTGCCTAATGCGAGGATGGTCTCGAAATCGCTCTTAGGGGGGCGGGGGCACGACGCGGAACAACTAGTTTTATATAACGAGTATGAATCAGACTCTCGTACCTTTGACTGAGGGGTATGCCTAGCGTTGCCGCCTCCTTTGGTTTATTACTCAAAGTCTTGGGTTCTTTATACATACCATTAGTCCTTTCCCGGTTGAGCATTGTTTCATGTAATAGTTCCCATGCATAGAAATTAATATTACCAAATGTATTAATACAAATATCTAACGATGAAGTATTTTACGAGCTGATAATAATGATGACATCATTGTTAAATATAAAAGTATAGGTTGAGCCTTGTATTTTTTTACATTTAAATAAAACTCATTACCTTTCATATTTTTATGCTTTAATTTAATAAGCGAAACTTAAACAACAATCATGCAAAACTTTTTTCTAAAACTTAAAAAACTGAATACATAACTGGGCAAATGCATGGACTATGAACTCATTTTAACAGCCTGATGCGTACTTAATATTTCATAATCACTTACAAAGATTATAATCTTTTACATCTCATAATCACACTATAAAACGATTGATAAAAATCACAAGTTCATGATTAAAACAATTACATTTATGATCTTAAAAACGAATTAAAACTTGGTAAATGAATTGATACATAATTACATGGTTGTATGTTGTTCTTATTTCCGATTATCACGATTACAATCATTATGTACCAAGTCATTACTTTTAAATTAGATATACACGAATTTTTAAAACAAAGCGGCATTCAAAATAAATTAGTAAGTATGTTAATATGGTTAAAATCAAAAATGCACACAAAGGGAAAAAAGTAACTTGTAAATTCATAATTACAAACACAAAGATCAATGATATATAAAATGTTATCTGATTAAAATATTTCAGCTTTGTGACATGGAAGATTATTAAAATTTTGTCACTGAACTGTGATCGCTGAAAAAATACTTTATTTTGTTAATGCGTCCTATTTAAAATCAAGTCAAAAATTCTCTTTCACGCCGTCCATAATGCTTACAATACTTCTTCGATGTGATGATTATTTTGTCAATTGCCAATGTCATCATCTCTTTAAAGATCATATTCATTAAATATGATATCAAAAGTGGTGTACACGTTGGCCCAAAATCAATGCGATATTAAGTTGTAAAAATAATGACGAACGCATTATACGGCTTAATAATCAAATATTAAAAACTGCTAGTGGATTTAATTGCGATATAATCGATATAAACATTAGTCCGGATAAACTGTGTTCGGATACACGTAAAAATATTAGGTTATAATCAAAAAATAAAACATGCCCTCACTAAAAACGATCTAAAAACTTCGTACTAATCCTAACTAGCTTAAAACTAACATTTAAACGGCACTTGGCCAGCTTACTTCAACAATTCTACGAGTCTATGATAAGAGATCAAATCGTCGCAACGCTTTTAGCTATCATAATAATCTTTAAAAAAAACACATAATAGCCTTAAATTTTATAAAATCTCATAAATATTAACAAGCTTTTGAAAACAAATCAACGTAGACGACACTCACGGTTCTTACAAAATTCCTTGGAGTTTATTAATACAATTTATGCCCAATAGAATCAGAATCATAGAACTCGTGATTGTCATAAATTAATTTTCACCATATACAATGCAAAACACATTTTAAACATTAAAAAATGGTTACCTACCTACGAGTTATGTTCTTTGTATATAAAAGATCTGTAAAAGTACGCTCTGTTTTAGGTTCATGTACATAGCTAGCAGTCTCAATTAATTAGGAGTTATTTCGTAGAGATCATGTGTAACCCTCGTTACATTTCTTAATTCGAACCTATTAATAAGCCAGTCTTATAAGCTTGATTGCTCGCATATTTAGATAATTGCAATCATACTATATATTAATATCAGACTAAGGAATCACAATAAGAATGTGAAACTGCATACACTGTGGACGTGAGCACAGGTCGGTCAAGGTGATTCAAGGACATTAAAATTATTCCTGAACAAAAGTTACTATTAAATCCTTTTTGAAAACAAAAATGCTGAGTTTTATTCGCGTTTGATGCCATTTACATGGCAACACTATTATAAGGTCAACTAAAATTGTAAATTTTTAACTTTGGTTAATACGTTACTATTTTGTAGACATTATATTTTTTAACAAAATAAGCCCTATGAATACTTAGAAATGAACAACAAAATCATCTTGACCGTGTCTTGGTTTAAGGTTTCAATACGATCGTGGGTGTTACCATTTGTCTTGAGAAAGTGTTGCCGTGTTGTACTGCGGGGGCGAATTGATCAGTTTCCTCTCTGAAGGTGTCCCGTTACTTTTGAACGCGTTCGCTTGTTTTTGCAGCTCTGGTCAAGAGGATTTGTTAAATTTTTATATCATTAAATTATCATGTCATTAAATTTAAGGAACAAAGAAGATGCTAAAAACCTCGATAAAAATTACTAATTAAAGAATAAAAAAACTTAGTTAAATATTGCTTTTAAAATTTCACTGCGCCCTTTGAAAATCTGTGCCTGTAGTACGTACACTCGAAGGCTATGGTGTGTAGTGGTCGCCGTTGAAATATGGTGTTATATTTCTGTGCACATTCAACATCCTATGGTGAAATATTCTTCTCTATTCTTTTTCTATTCTCTTAACTTTCCTTTTACGTCACCACAAGGAAAGTTAAGAGAATAGAAAAAGAAAGAAAGAATATTTCGTGAGACTCCTTCTACACATTCTGTCTCTGAATGAGAGGCGTGCGTCGACTGCGGCATTGACATTCAAAAAAAATCTTATTGTCTCTATCAAATGATGTTGTAAAAACAAACTAGGTATGGGCATGCGGAAGTGCAGCGCACTGATGTAAAGGTATTGGCCCAGTACGGGGCTTTCATGACGGATAAACGAATATTGCTGTGTAGATCTTATGTTTTTTGTCTGTTCACTGTGTGGAATTTGTTATTAAAACAATACAGTAAATAAACATAGATTTAAAAAAAAAACATAACCCTTCAGGGACAGTCTGGTAACAGAAAGGGAATACCTACGGAGTTTCTTTCGCAGTTTCCTAATTTTGAAATGGTAGTAGAAAAACATGTTGACGAATGACAAACAAAATCTTGGTTTCTTACATCGAAAAATATAATTTTCATTTAATTTCATTTGAAATTACAGATTAATATTGAGTAAATTAAAATGAAATTACGGACTTAAATACACATATATGATTACGGAGCATTAAGGAAGCTTCAATATTGCTCTTAGAGATAAATAAGTCTAGCAGAGTGGTGAAACTAAGCTTAAAAAAGTCCGCAGCCTATTTAGTCCCAATTACCTTTACCTACGTATGTTGTAAAAGGTAACTGCGAAACGTGAGAAACATATAATGGCACGGTCTAAAGAACAATACTCAGAACGGCGACGTATTGCAATGTCAAAGGTGCTCACGTCTCGATCGTCAATCCACCAACTGTGACGATTATAGCAAATTACGCTTACAAAGGTAAAGGGAAATGTTCAGAAGTGGACTTTTATGGGTATCATCACGATTCATGATAATGATGATATTATGTAGTGACCTAACTGATACAAATGTATAAAACAATAAGTATACCGGCGATGGTTAGCAACATCTTCCTGCGCGCGCCAAAAGCGGTTACCCCTATCTCAGTGAGGTCAGCTTCGTTGAGAGACGCGAACGTAGACATGTCCAGTTCGTGCTTCTTGAATAGATCTGTTGAAGAAATCTATTTGTATTTTTTCTTCGATTTAAACACTTTGAGGCGTTGGAGTGACAGGTAGTGAAAGTAGTGGTACTATTTTATTTTTCTTATTATTTGTAAGCAAATTTGATTAAAAAAATTAAGTTTTTACATCCAATATAACATAGGCAATATAGGAGGCATCTACAGCCTCTTCTTTTATGGGGTTCAGTTCCTGTTAACCGCCCGACTCTAGCATGTATCAATCATCATCATTGATCTTAACATTCTGACCCTACCATCTTATATATATATATATATATATAATATATATATATATATATATATATATATATATATATATATATATTCGAAGTAGCTATGTTTGTAAGGAAACATTTTAGCATATTTGAAAACGCTAATAATAAACGACATAGGAACAAACTACGTACAAAACCTCATAAAACAGCCCTGTATTCAAAAAGTTTCCTGGGTATGGCTCCTAAAATTTTTAATAAACTCCCAAAAAACATCAAAGAAACTGATAACATAGACAAATTTAAGAAATTGCTTTCCAGTTTTTTAATAAATAAAGCATACTACTCTATCAACGAATATTTTGAAGATAAAATGAATGGTTTTTAGTACCTACAATAATTAATGTCCGATTTATTTATCTTTATGGTGTTAAGAATTATGTAATTTCTAAATATACGAATTATAATTGAAATTGTTATTTTATTAAAAATTAATTTTCATAATGCGAGGTGATAGTGATAAACAAATATTTGTATGCCTTTTAAGGCGAAACATAGTGTCGTACTTATCATACCTTTTCCACCAAGATTGTAACTTTTTACCTGTGTTTTACAAATAAATTATTTGACTTGATTTGATTTGAAACACTGTAAACGAGTCTGACCTATTTAAAAACTGAATATTGTTGTTATAAATTTAATCTCAAAAAAAATAACTATGTGCAACAAGTTTGCTTTCATGATGAAAAGGAAACAATCTTCCATATTGCGAAACATGCAACACAATAGAACATATACAACACTTGCTCGCCGAATCTTCCGAAAACCATCACGAGAGGAAACTACTGGTCGCTAAAACTAATATTAATATATGTAACATAGGTGAACATCAAACCATTCTCTCTGAACTACTGTCAAATGCTCCTCAAATGGTATATCATTTAGTTAGTATATTGTGTAAGTAATTTTGATAAAGTTTTTGTGTTATTTAGTTACAAGGTACAATGGGACCGACATGTTAAAAAGGACGAAAGCCCCTTAACTAAAAAAGAATTTTAAAAAAAAAGAAAAAATAACGAACTTTTCAATTGTGTAAATAGTTCTTGGCAAGACGCTTCTAACTGTAGTTTAGTGGACCGTAAGAAAATAAAACAGTAATACGAAAACCGAATGAATTTTTTTTTTTGATTCAAAGATAATAATTTACATAAAACTTTCATTGTTCCAACACCCTAATCTGTGAAGTTATCGACAGTTTTTGTACTTTACAACTAAAAATTGACTCATAGTGTATATCGCTTGGTGTCAATGCAAAGGTGAGAAGTTCAATTTGCTCGCTTAGTTAGTGAGGTTAGCTTACCTATGTACTTCTGTAGTCCAATGTCGCGCAGTAAATCATACAGCTGTTGGTAACGGCACGGCTTCTTTGTCGCCTGCGGAGGAGAGGCGAGCGTTTCCACGATATTTGGACGCACCAGCTCCGAACTGTTCCAGCCCTTTTCAGGCTAAAGTTGAACAAAACATGTTGAGGTCTGACAGTTATGGCAACATTCTAACTATCACAAAAATATAAATATATGCAACAGTAACAGGTATCATTGTATGGTACTGTACACCAATTTTTTAGGGTTCCGTAGTCAACTAGGAACCCTTATAGTTTCGCCATTTCTGTCTGTCCGTCTGTCCGTCCTCGCTTAATCTCTGTGACCGTTAGCACTAGAAAGCTGAAATTTTGTACCAATATGTGTATCAATCACGCCGACAAAGTGGTAAAATAAAAATTGGAAAAAAATGTTTTATTAGGGTAGCCCCCCTATATGTAAAGTGGGAAGTGATTTTTTTTAATTTCAACTCTAACGTGTGATATATTGTTGGATAGGTATTCAAAAATGAATAGGGGTTTACTAAAATTATTTTTGATAATGTAAATAATTTCGGAAATAATCGCTCCAAAAGTAAAAAACAATGTGTCCCCCCCCTCTAACTTTTGAACCATAAGTTTAGAAAATATGAAAAAATCTGAAAAGTAGAACTTTATAAGGACTTTCTAGGAAAATCATTTTGAACTTGGATGGAAACAACAGTACCCACTACCGGGAGCAGTTGCAGGAGCGCGGAGCGCTGCTGGAGCGCGAACATAATGGATACCCACCTTTAAACTCATAAGTGGGAACACTTATTGTGACGGACGGGAAACTACGGAACCCTACACTGAGCGTGGCCCGACACGCTCTTGGCCGGTTTTTGTAAATTATAAAAATGTACGATGGCTTAGACAAGTATAGTTATATCCGATGAGATATTAAATTATACTTCAACTACGTATTGTATCAGTAACACTAGGGCATAACAACAACTGTGTGTGTGGTTTAGCGTACTCGCCTTCAGTCTCGAGACCTAAATTCGAATTGTGGCCTGGAAGAGATTTTGCGATGGAATATTACCATCCATCATTTTCTTACAAGAACAATGCAGACTTTAATTTATATGAAGTATTTACCCTTATAAACAATGAATTTAATAAAACATTTGTATTTAACAGTGGTAGAGCCACGCGGCAGCTTTGCTGTCGCACGTATGGGCCGGCTCAAACCGGGGTGGTACCACGACCTCACAGAATACCGGCGTGAAGTGGAAGCTCTGCTTCCGCGTTTCGTCTGGTGAGTGCAGGTGGCCGGAGGCCCAATTCCCCCCCCATCAACATGGTGGCGGAATTAAATGATAGACTACCCCAAGAGGGTACCAGCACCCCTGGAGAATCCCTCGCTGAGCATCCACGACCATGTTTCTCCACTTCTGAGCGTGGGTGCTCAGGCTGCCCCGCGTATTCTGGGGGGGGGCAATATTCCGCTCAAGACTAAAACTGCTCGGGGCAAACGGAGCAACAAGACCAAGGCGACCCCTGCCACGCTGTCCGTGAATTTCTGCTGACTTCACTCTAACCTAAACGCCGTCCACCACCGAGACGGCGAGGCCGGCTCTGCTCTTTCTGACCGAGACGCAGGTGTCCTCTCCGGCTGATGTCTCGTATCTCTCCTGTCCGGGGTACAAACTGGAACACTCCTTTGTGCCTCGGGCTGGAGTTTGCGTTTACGTCAGAGAGGACATCTGTTCTCGACGCCTCGGCAGACTTGAAGGTTCGGACCTGTCCATCCTTTGGCTACGCGTAGACAGCGACGACCATCCGCGCGTCTACGGGTGCCTCTATAGGTCCCATAGCGGTAATGCCGAAACAGACCGACTCTTCGACCACGTCCAAATGGCTGCAGATTCGTTGCTACAGCAGATCCCCTCCGCAGAGATCGTGATCCTTGGCGACTTTAACGCCCATCACGCCGAATGGCTCGGTTCACGTTTAACCGATCATGCGGGGAGATCTGTTCATGATTTTGCCTTGGCATATGGTCTGACACAACTGGTTACTTCGCCTACGCGGATTCCAGATGTGGAGAATCATGCACCTTCCCTGTTGGACCTTCTGCTGACCTCTCACCCGGACGGATATCAGATTTCCGTCGACACCCCTTTAGGCTCCTCGGACCATTGTCTTGTCCGGAGTGTGGTGCCACTCACGCTGAAATCGCGGTTGCATTCTGCAGGCTGCCGCCGTGTTTGGCACTATAGGTCAGCTGATTGGGATGGGATGCGGTCTTTCTTTGCATCCTACCCTTGGGGGCGGGTTTGCTTCTCGCCGGATGATCCCAACGTTGTTGCGGATTCTGTCGCTGATGTGGTACTTCAAGGTATGGAACTTTTTATTCCTTCCTCTGTGGTGCCCATTGGAGGCAAATCTCAGCCATGGTTTGGTCGCTCCTGTAAAATAGCATCATGCTATAAGCAGGAGTGCTACCGAGCCTGGGCTGACGCATCAGCGTCCAGGGATGTAAACACCAGCGCTCTAAAAAGAAGTATAATTCCGCCTCTAGGTCCTTCAAAAGAGTCATTGCCAAGGCAAAGTCAGAACACATATAGGCAGAATTGGCGAGAGACTAGTTCGTCTTCCTTCCGGAACCCGTGCATTCTGGTCTCTCGCCAAGGCTGTCCAGGGGAATTTCTGTCAGCCATCTCTTCCATCTCTGCACAGGGAGGACGACTCACTGGCCCACACCGCAAAGGAGAAAGCCGATCTTCTAGGCTCTTTCTTTGCGTCTAACTCGACTCTCGATGACGGGGGGAGTACGCCGCCGACCATCCCGCGGTGTGAGTGCTCCATGCCGGAATTGCAGTTCACTCAGCGCTCGGTTCGCAAAGCACTCCTCTCCCTGGACATCCATAAGTCGAGTGGGCCTGATGGAATCCCCCCAATTGTGCTGAGGACGTGTGCTCCAGAGTTGGCACCGGTTTTAACGCGTCTTTTCCGGTACTCCTACTCCCTAGGCGTAGTCCCAAAATCATGGAAGACGGCTTTCGTCCACCCGATCCCTAAAAAAGGCGACCCGATCCTTTCCCATCCCAGACCCGTCCAACTACCGGCCTATCGCCATCACCTCCTTGTTCTCCAAAACAATGGAGTCCATTGTAAACTGCCAGCTCATGAGGTACCTTGAGGATCACCAGCTGATTAGTGACCGCCAATACGGTTTTCGCCGTGGTAGGTCAGCTGGTGATCTTCTGGTCTACCTAACTCACAGATGGGCGGAGGCAGTAGAGTCCAAGGGGGGAGGCATTGGCCGTTAGTTTGGACATTGCGAAGGCCTTCGATCGGGTTTGGCACAAAGCGCTTCTTTCGAAGCTCCCTTCCTATGGGCTTCCCGAGAAATTGTGCGATTGGATCACCAGTTTTCTTGCAGATCGGAGCATCAAGGTCGTTGTAGACGGTGCAAGCTCCGATTGCAAGCTTATTAATGCTGGTGTTCCACAGGGCTGCGTGCTATCGCCAACGCTGTTTCTTCTGCATATCAGTGATATGTTGCAAACCCGTAGCATTCATTGCTATGCGGATGACAGCACTGGTGATGCTCTTTACACCGGCCGAGCCAATATTTCTCGGGAAAACGTCTCTGAGTGCCGGGACAAACTTGTGTCTGAAGTCGAGTCTCTGCTGGACAGAGTCTCGGATTCATCATCATCATCATCACCGCCCTTCACAAGTCCACTGCTGAACATAGGCCTCCCCCAAGTAATGCCACAAAGCACGGTCCTGAGCCACCTGCATCCATCGACTTCCTGCATATCTTACCAGGTCGTCACTCCATCTAGTGGGGGGTCGCCCTACACTACGCCTACCGGTACGAGGCTGCCACTCGAGAACCTTTCTTCCCCATCGGTTATCGGTTCTTCGAGCTATATGGCCGGCCCATTGCCACTTCAGCTTACTAATCCGTTGGGCTATGTCGGTCAATCTGGTTTTACTGCGGATATCCTCATTTCTGAGTCTATCACGCAGAGAAACTCCGAGCATAGCCCTCTCCATAGCTCGCTGAGCGACCTTGAGCGTCCTCATACGGCCAGCAGTGAAGGACCACGTCTCTGATCCGTAAGTCATCACTGGCAACACGCACTGGTTGTACACTTTAGTTTTCAGAGATTGAGGTATACCTGATGAGAAGATATGTCGTAATTTCCCGAACGCTGCCCAGCCGAGTTGAATCCGTCGATTGACCTCTCGGTCGAAGTTGGACTTACCTAGTCGGACTATTTGTCCCAGGTAAACGTACTCGTCAACAACTTCGAGCATAGTGCTCCCAACAACTACCGGCATAGGTGTGACATGGACATTAAACATAATCTTTGTTTTGTCCATGTTCATCTTAAGACCTATCCGTTGGGAGGCACTATTGAGGTCATTGAGCATAGTGCTTAAGTCCTCCAGCGATTCTGCCATAAGGACTATATCGTCGGCAAATCGAAGGTGAGTGATGTACTCGCCATTGATGTTAATACCGTATCCTTTCCAGTCCAGTAGCTTGAAAACGTCTTCCAAAGCAGCGGTGAAGAGTTTCGGGGATATAACGTCACCCTGTCTTACACCTCTCTGCAGTTGGATAGGTTTCGAGCTCTGGTTCTGTACTCGGATAGCCATCGTAGCCCTACTGTACAAACACTTCAGCACTTCAATATACCGACAGTCAACTTGGCACCGCTGAAGGGACTGCAGCACCGCCCAAATTTCGACGGAATCAAAGGCTTTCTCATAGTCCACATACGCCAGGCAAAGTGGCAAATTGTACTCTTCAGTCTTCTGTACAATCTGCCGCAGGGTATGTATGTGGTCTATGGTACTGAAGCCTTTTCGGAAACCGGCTTGTTCGGGAGGCTGGAAGTCGTCGAGTCTGCGTGCGAGACGATTCGTAATGACTCTCGAAAACAGCACGTAGACGCGGCTCAGAAGGGAAATCGGTCTGTAGTTCTTCAAGAGAGCGTTGTCGCCTTTCTTAAAGAACAAGACCACCGCACTTCTGCTCCACGCCTCTGGAGTAGTGCCACCATGGAGGACGGAATTGAAGAGCTTCTGAAGGACTTCAAGTACCGGTGTTCCACCCGCTTTCAGAAGCTCCGCAGTAATTCCATCCTCGCCTGGGGCCCTGCCGTTTTTAAGGTGCTGGAGAGCCATTCTAATCTCGCTTAGACTGACGTCCGGGATATCATCGGAATAGTGTCGGATAAGACTTGCTCTTGGATCGTTACTCACACTTGCGTGTGGCTCCAACGATGATGTGTACAGCTGCCCATAGAACCTCTCAATCTCACTCAAAATCTCAGGTGTCCCGGAAACGATGCTGCCACACTCAGTCTTCAGCCTTGACAGTTGGCTCTTTCTGGCAGATAGATCTCTGGCAAAGACTTTGGAGCCCTGGTTCCGCTCGATCGCTTCTTTAATACGAGCAGTATTAAAGTTGCGTAAGTCTCGCCGCATGCATTTGGAGATCTGTCTGTTCAGTTGCCTGTATGCTGTCAAATCTGTTGACGATTGCAGCCTCATCTCCCGTCTAACAGCCATGAGATTAAGAGTGTGATCGGAGAGTTTTTGTGTTCTTCTGCGGCGGGTCTTGCAGAACTTAGCTCCGACCGCATGGACAGTTTCCACGAGCTTGTCATTCATATCGTCCACTGCATTGCAATCTTGTAGGCACTGAAAGCGGTTGTGTAACTCGAGCTGAAAGTTTTCGGGATTTTGGATCAGAGCACGAGGGGGACGGAGCGTTGACTTCATTAGACGAGACCTCTCCAACTTAACGTTTAGGTTCAGTGTGCCTCTAACCATTCGGTGATCGCTGCCAGTTTTCACCCTTGCGATCACTGAGACATCACTGAACAGTTGGCGTCTGGTCGTCATAATGAAGTCAATCTCATTTTTTGTCGAACCGTCGGGGCTCGACCAGGTCCACTTCCTGTGGGGCCGCTTCTGGAAGAAAGAGTTCATCATAAAGAGTCCCTCTTTCTCCATAAAGTCGGCCAGCTGCTGGCCCCTTCGGTTCCGTTGCCCTACTCCAAATTTCCCTAACTTCAGCTCACCGCTTTCTCTTGTGCCTAGTTTTGCGTTGAAGTCTCCCATCAACACCGTGTAGTGGGTTTTGGAGGAATGTATGGCTTTGGAAATATCCTCATACATTTCCTCCACCTCCTCATCGGAATGTGCCGACGTTGGTGCGTAAACCTGTATGACCTTCAGCGAATACCGTTTGGTGATTCTGAGTATCAGGTACGCGACCCTCGTCGACACACTCTCAATCTGTACAACGTTGTTGACGAGAGACTTGTGGACGATAAATCCGACACCTCCTTGGGACAGATGGTCGCCCTCCCGGTGATAGAACAAGTTGCCGGATTCGAGAATCACCGTGTCCTCCCCCTCTCTTCGGACCTCGGATAATCCTATAATACTCCAGCGCAACTTGTCTATCTCTTCTTCCAGCTCCAGGATCTTCTCGTCAGTCCTCAGTGTGCGTGCGTTAAATGTTGCCAGGTCGAGTCGTCGTAGGTGGCAACCGAACCTCCACCGGAGATTCTTAGCACCCCCTGCCCCGCCGTTACCATGGTCGCCACCGTAGCCAGGAATAGCGGGGCCGCCGGGGACTGGGGGCCGTCTATTTGTGTAATTGTTCATGGGGGGTATATTGCCATAGTTGCCACGCTTGGCGAGCGGGTTGGCAACCGCAGTTTTTTTTTGTCGTACAGTTGCTGTTATCAGGAAGATGCTGCTGCCCATCTCCTGCCTGTCTCCCTCTGTCGCCTCTTACGACACCCACGGGAAGATATGGGGTAGTGGATATTCTTAACCGCCACTACACGGCAAAGTCTCGGATTGGGGGCGACTAAATCTAGTCCAGTTTAACCCCCAGAAGACACAAGTTTGAGCGTTAACCGCTAAAAAGAACCCCTTTGTCGTATCCCCTCAGTTTCAAGGCACTCCCCTTGTTGCCTCGGCCAGTATCGGAATCCTCGGCGTCGACATATCGAGTGACGTGCAGTTTCGTGGTCACTTGGAAGGGAAGGCCAAATTGGCCTCTAAAAAAGCTTGGCGTGCTCAGCAGAGCGGGACAGTATTTCATGCCGGCACACCGCTTGCAACTTTACATGGCGCAGGTTCGGCCGCTCATGGAATACTGATCCCATCTCTGGGCTGGGGCTCCCCAGTACCAGCTCCTTCCACTTGACCGCATCCAGCGCAGAGCGGCTCGAATTGTCAACGACCGAGTGCTTTCCGATCGGCTCGATTCACTGGCGCTGCGAAGAGATGTTGCATCTCTTTGCGTATTTTATCGCATCTATCACGGGGAATGCTCTGAGGAATTGTTCGGATTAATCCCAGCCGCCAAATTTCGTGAACGCACTACACGGCAAACGTCCCGATACCATCCACACCATCTGGATGCTTGGCGGTCCACCACTGTACGTTTCAAAAGGAGTTTTCTTCCGCGTAAAACCTCTCTGTGTTATAATTTACCACCGGTGATTTTTCCGGATCGATACGACCTGGGGACCTTCAAGAAAAGAGCATACTCCTTTCTAAAGTGCCGGCAACGCACCTGCAATTCCCCTGGTGTTGCGGTTGATCATGGGCGGCGGTAGTCACTTAACATCAGGTGAGCCACATGCTCGTTTGCCCCCTCTTCTATAAAAAAAAAAACATTTACTTCTAAAACATTCCCCAGTAACAGTCGGCATTTATTGAGTGGGCGACAGTAGGAATTCATACAAGTGGTAAAATTAAAAATTAAAATGAGAACGTTATTAATGTATTCAAAGTCAATTACATATATTAGAGATATCGTTTCCTGATTTAATGAAACATATTTAACTAACATCTTTAAATCTGGTAGTACTTTGGACTCTGCTTATTTCAAACCTATTTCTGTACTTTTAACTATCGGTAAAATTTGTGAAAAAATAATTTTGGATCAATTGTTAATTTTTAATATAAATAAATTACTCAATAAAAATTCATCAATCATCACATCAATTTGGTTTTACAATACGTCGCTCGACGACCGACGCCGGTGTTGAGCTAATGAAGTATATTTTTAATGCTTGGAAGAATTCACAAGTTGCCTTAGGTATTTTTGTAATCTTTTCAAAGCTTGTGTTCATCATGAGATATTAATCAAGAAACTAGTGATTATGATGTCAAAAATATTGCGCTTAGACTTATATATTTAAGTAAGAGTACTCAAAAAGTCGTTATCAATGGTAAAGGTTCCTTCTAATCGTTAGTATCGATGGGTGTTCCTCAGGGCTCAATTATTGGCCCATTCCTGTTCTTAATCTATAATAATGGCTAAAATTATCTTGAAGGGGACAATCACGATATAGTATTATTTGCTGATGACACCTCTTTAATTTTAAACTCAAACGGCTGTCATTAATTATGAAGATGTAAATAATGTTCTATTAAAATTTGTAGATTGATGTAACGACAATAATTTGCTCTTAAACGACAAAAAGACAAAATGTATTAAATTTACAATACCTAATGTTAACCAACATTCGAATACCAATGTGTTCTTAAATGGGGAGGAGTTGAGTCTTGTGGATACAACTGTTTTTCTTGGTATTACTATTGACGCGAAGCTTCAACAGGGCCCCAGGACAGAGGTATTCCCAGGACAGATGTAATTTCCGAACCAGTATTAAATGAAAAAAAATGACTTTCAAAGTATTATTAAATAATTTATATTGAATAAAAGTCTATTCTATTCTATACCCGTTTATTAATTTCCTTCAATCATGGTTTTCACTTTACATTGTTACTATTTCATCATATACCCATTTCATAAAGTTAGCTTATTGTCAAATTACCGCTTCGTCAATTCTTATTTACTCAAACTATAATCCCCTCCCCCACCGCATCGTTGTTTGTTTAATCCTTCCAATATTGTTATATTGAAACTAGTTTTATTACATACCTTCTAATTAATTAGCGTACACGTTACTAAAGGACCAAAGCACTGATTTTAAAACTTCAAATTCTATTTAAAAAAAACAATTACCGTGGTCGATCCTTCATTTTCGTTCAGCGAAATCGGTACGGGCGAAGTGTGGCTGAAGTAATATCCGGACCAGCGTCCCGTCGGTATTCGATATCCGCTGCCGACGTTTTCACGCATGGCCTGCAAGAATATACCAGTTACATGTTATACATACACAAACATTTATTTCTAGACATAGATGTTGGCCTCGTATAAGAGGTGACAACATTAATTGTAGATTTAGTATTTGGATATCGACGTAACAGCCTGACCACGGGACATTCACCGTAGCGAAAATTAACGCGGCGCGAACGGCGAGGCGTCTAGCGAATAAAACAAATGTATAGAAATGTATAGCCCCATTTACATTCAGCCACTGCCACTGCTCCTCGCGCTGCCGGCAATACTTCCCTAAATACTGCCGTAGCAGGATCGCGGGAAGTGTGTATTCACACTCTGCCCTACCACTCACATCGCTTTCGGCTTTCGACTATGGCGGACGTCGAAATAATTAAAGCGTCCGCGCTGTGTCTTCTTGCAATACAAAATTATGTTAATAATTTAAAAAGATATCAAGTTCAAAAGAAGATAGATAGATAGATAGAAAATTTATTTGCTTAAAAACATGGTACATAAGATGATCAATGACGTGGAACTGACATGTTTTGCCATAATTGGCATGGAAAAATGATATAAAATACAGCTAATTACACAAACCCGATGTTGCTTAAAAGTTAGGTACACACATTCTTTTTGAATTCAAATATTATGTACAATTAAATACTTATACAGATCCACTCTATTTGAATTCTTATACAGTAAATTGTTCATAAATTATTAATTGAATTATTATATTATTGTTACATAAATAATATTAAATATTATATGAGATTAGTTAAGCTATTATTATTTTATTAATTACACTTCAGTATAAACTAATTCGTAATTTTAATTACAATAAAATTATAATTTAAAAATCTCAGGCTATTATGCAAATATTACCTTTTAACTTATTTTACATTTTAATTAATAAATAATCAATATGAGTTACTAATCGTTTTTAGAAATAAAATGTCAATGTTCATTAATTCCTTAAACTAAATTTTATATTAATATAATAAATTTGACGAATTTATAATTAATTATGTACATAGGTACTATGTTAACTCAAAAAAGAAAATTCGTATTCGTAGAAGATGATGAATTGTGGTTTTTATCGTTGAAATCCCATATAGTTTTTTCTGATTCCAGCAGTTCTAAAAACTTTATTGTATTTTCATTAATCCACTCGAAAGGCATTTTGGTAGATCGTATTTATTTAATAACAGGACGGCACGCACGTCCGTTCATCCAGGCGCTTGTCGCGAAGTGAGCGATGGAGCTGAATGTGAACACACACTGCCGCTCGCGCTGCCCGTCCTTTGACTTCCGCACGAAAAACCGACATTTCGGGCAGCAGCGGCGCGGCAGGTCACGCGAGTAGCCTGTTTACATACTGCCCTCTCACCCCTGCTCACTTCCCTGCCCAAACGGGCTGAATGTAATGCCCCATTTACATTCAGCCCGTTTGGGCAGGGAAGTGAGCAGGGCAGTGAGCAGGGCAGTATGTAAACAGGCTACTCGCGCTGACACTGCCGCTGCCGCTGACACTGCCCGAAATGTCGGTTTTTCGTGCGGAAGTCAAAGGACGGGCAGCGCGAGCGGCAGTGTGTGTTCACATTCAGCTCCATCGCTCACTTGGCGACAAGCGCCTGGATGAACGGACGTGCGTGCCGTCCTGTTATTAAATAAATACGATCTACCAAAATGCCTTTCGAGTGGATTAATGAAAATACAATAAAGTTTTTAGAACTGCTGGAATCAGAAAAAACTATATGGGATTTCAACGATAAAAACCACAATTCATCATCTTCTACGAATACGAATTTTCTTTTTTGAGTTAACATAGTACCTATGTACATAATTAATTATAAATTCGTTAAATTTATTATATTAATATAAAATTTAGTTTAAGGAATTAATGAACATTGACATTTTATTTCTAAAAACGATTAGTAACTCATATTGATTATTTATTAATTAAAATGTAAAATAAGTTAAAAGGTAATATTTGCATAATAGCCTGAGATTTTTAAATTATAATTTTATTGTAATTAAAATTACGAATTAGTTTATACTGAAGTGTAATTAATAAAATAATAATAGCTTAACTAATCTCATATAATATTTAATATTATTTATGTAACAATAATATAATAATTCAATTAATAATTTATGAACAATTTACTGTATAAGAATTCAAATAGAGTGGATCTGTATAAGTATTTAATTGTACATAATATTTGAATTCAAAAAAGAATGTGTGTACCTAACTTTTAAGCAACATCGGGTTTGTGTAATTAGCTGTATTTCATATCATTTTTCCATGCCAATTATGGCAAAACATGTCAGTTCCACGTCATTGATCATCTTATGTACCATGTTTTTAAGCAAATAAATTTTCTATCTATCTATCTATCTTCTTTTGAACTTGATATCTTTTTAAATTATTAACATAATTTTGTATTGCAAGAAGACACAGCGCGGACGCTGTAATTATTTCGACGTCCGCCATAGTCGAAAGCCGAAAGCGATGTGAGTGGTAGGGCAGAGTGTGAATACACACTTCCCGCGATCCTGCTACGGCAGTATTTAGGGAAGTATTGCCGGCAGCGCGAGGAGCAGTGGCAGTGGCTGAATGTAAATGGGGCTTAAATGGGGCATATGAAGCATGCCAAGCGTAGCGGCGAGTGGCGACGCGACCGGCGAAATTTACCGGACGAATCGCACGGGCGACTGGCGGCGACAAATATATCGTTTCAGTCACCCGCCAAATCGCGCCGCGCGAATTGGCAGGTGGGCGTTCGCGCCGCCGATCCCCGTGGCCAGGCCAAGCCGTAAGGTGTGTCTAAAATCCATCCGCGCGTTTACCGGACGGATTTTAGACTAGTTGAAAGAGTCTGGCAAAATCTGTTTTTTCTCGACATCCATTATACGTCAGACTTGTGGAACATGGCGCAAAACGTTAAGTTTAGCTATTAGAAGCTTTTACTTTTGTAAACTCAACGGTTTCTGTTTAAAACGTATGCGAAGACAAGACATAATTTTTTTATGCACCTCTACTGCTTAGAGAACAAAGTTCATATAAGGGATTTGCCTTATCTTTACCGCTCAAAAACATATTTAAATATTATATGTAAATTACTTGAGACGTAAATGTTCCAAACGATTCTCTGTTATTTTGTTTCGTGGCGTCCGATCTTATCCCTGATATAAAGAAATTGTAATTTTGCGGTTCTCAAATTACGGCCTTTATTTGGAGTTGTTCAGTCACAATAATTCTGCCAATGTCCGATCGTGGGTCTATCACATCTTGTCTGCAGATTCGTGGTAAAAAAGGAGTTGAGGATATATGCGAAAATGTGACGAAAAATAAAGCTAAACTACACACAGAGTTATGGGCAACACAATATCTAAAGAAGTAACAACTAGTTAAAGGAGATTAATAACTTGAGCAGGGCTTAGAAAATTAGGTTCCCACAAAAGTTAATAGTTAATAATTACAGATTAATATTTGAATACGTTTTGTGGTAATTGAGCGATATATAAAACAAAAAAGGGAGGATAAATCGCTCGCGTCCGTAGGCTTCGGTCACCTAATCCTAGGCCCACCCTACACGTGTCCCCCGGGTGATGATAAATGAGCGACAAGCCGATAGCACAGGCTCGGCTCCTCGTCGTGGTAGTGGTTGTCGCCTGCTGATCTTCCAACCGACGGACCTGTTCCTCCTGTCGGCGGGCCTGTTCCTCCTATCGGTGGGCCTGTTTCTCCTGCTGCTCTTTCAACCAACAGCCCTGTTCATCATGTCGGCGAGCATGCTCCTGCAGCAGCAGGTGCTATAGACGTAGGAGCTGCTGACGGGCCAGCCTCCGTGGCCGGCGGCTGGCCCTCAGACGTCTGCAGCGTTACACCACCAAATCGTCTCTGGTTCGTCTCCTGCTGGCGTTGAGTTCGGTTACGGACACCCTCCGTGTCGTCCTTCGGCACGATTTTATCCCACTTCTGACACCAATTGCTACGAGCTTGAGGTTCGTGACAGTAAAAACTGCCGATTGAATTACCAAAATTGACACTTTAATTACCGAACACCACACCACCACACCAATTCAAACTAATACACACTAATAATTAATCACACTTAACACATTAGTTCACTTTATTTCGCTCCTAAGTCTTCACTTGTATCGCCAATTCAATACTGCCCCGGTCGCGGCCCTAAACGGCTTTATATAGGCCTTTTCCATCGAAACATCTAGAACGTTCCGGCAAATACCGGTCCCGACCGACTAGGTGTAGAAAATTCTAGTGTGGAGTTTTCTAGAAAGCTTAGTTCTTCTAATCGATACTCCTATTTCTGCTGCTTGATACCAGATAATGTTAAGAATCACCCGCCATATACCGGGCGTTAATTATAGCGCGCAACACTATGAAAGTATATACGGTATTAATAACAAAAACATAATTTTTGAAGTTTTTGTCTGTCTGACTAGCTTTTTGTTCCGGCTAATTGCATGTGAAATAGTTGGATCGATTTTGATAAGAATTTCACTGGCAGATAGCTAATGTTGTAAGAAGTAACTCTGATTACTTTTATCTTAGAAAAAGAATTAGGGTACTGCGTAAAAATTTAAAACCTATGAAATCCAATCGTAATAAAATATAATAAAATATACGCGGACGAAGTAGCAGGGAACAGCTAGCTCTAAAATAAAAAGTATAAGTATGACCTTGTCAGCCTCTGCTCGCTGCTTGCGGTAGTCCGCGAGCGGCGACAGCTTGCCCAGGGTCTGCAGCGTCTTCTTCTCGCAGCCCACCGCGCGCCGCGCCGACAGCGGCAGCTCAGAGATCAGGCTGACCAGCTCTGCAGCAGAACCCACTTTGTATTTCTTATTTTATGAATCCTAAACACTGTTATCACATGGTAGGTGCTCCTTAAACTAGATAAGACACATCATTTTATTTGATAACGCGGATCTTAGTTAATAAATTTATAACATCTTCAATATAATGGATTTCCGTTAAGTTACGCCTGATTCTATTGATAATTTTATGAACTTTTATAATCTTCGCCTCAAACTGCAGGAAAACACTGCTGGATACGGGCCTTTGTTGTTTAGGGAGGATTTGCCTTAATTGTAACAGTCAGCGGTTAGATTGACGACCTTTTGCGCTGCTTCCCTATTTGGATGTTTATTATAAATGAGATAGTTATACCGCCATGTATCGGAAGTCATTAAGCGATTCCCATAGTCAGTTTTACTCTACCCACAGAATGAAATGTGGTGGATTTGCTTAGGCCGCACGGTTATTTTGAAATCTACTTTTACAATAAATAATAGTTTCATTGTATTATTTACTTTAATATATGAGTATCGATTATAAGTTAATTGCATTTTCATGTAAGCTGGTTATTGATTATAAAATGACATCAGAACACTCCGTTTTACTACATTGACATTAATAATCTTTCCATTATTTTACAGTTTTATCATCTCTTGGGAGTGTTTTTTTTATTTAATTGGTAACTCCCTTAAGGTATAGTCGAGTTAATAAAAAATATAAAAATCGGTACACAATTGGCGAACTATCACATAACATACATACAAAGGAAATAAAAATAGAGTCGCATACAAAGACTTTTATGTGTACTAATAGACTGGCAATTCAGAACAAAAACTGGATCGCGCGGTCGGCTATTGGGCAATGCCACGCAGTTATATTTTCATTTATGACACTTACTATTTTTAGGCAAATAAGAAATAAAGATACCAATCACAGTGTTTTCTTAGTTAAATTAAATAAAATTCGTGTAAGACTGTCGAATACAACATTCGCAAAGGTTTACAAAACAAAGACCGGTGTTCTCTCGCCCACTCGCAGTCGAGTAAACAAGTTGCGGAAAGTTGATCGTAACTTAGTGCGCAACGTCTTACTGTCGTCTAGTAGTAAGTCTTTGGTCGAATACAGAATTGTCAGTTTGAAGTGGGCTAAAAGTGATCTTGGTGGGAGCAGTCGTTGTCTGCGGAGGGCGCGAGGGCTGTGCGCCTTGCTGATGGGTGACACGCTCGGCGAAGCCACGTTGCTGCCGTCGTACTGCAACAAACTGACCTTGGTGGGAGCGGTCGTTGTCTGCGGAGGGCGCGGGGCTGTGCGCCTTGCTGATGGGTGACACGCTCGGCGAAGCCACGTTGCTGCCGTCGTACTGCAACAAACTGACCTTGGTGGGAGCGGTCGTTGTCTGCGGAGGGCGCGGGGCTGTGCGCCTTGCTGATGGGTGACACGCTCGGCGAAGCGACGTTGCTGCCGTCGTACTGCAACAAACTGACCTTGGTGGGAGCGGTCGTTGTCTGCGGAGGGCGCGGGGCTGTGCGCCTTGCTGATGGGTGACACGCTCGGCGAAGCCACGTTGCTGCCGTCGTACTGCAACAAACTGACCTTGGTGGGAGCGGTCGTTGTCTGCGGAGGGCGCGGGGCTGTGCGCCTTGCTGATGGGTGACACGCTCGGCGAAGCCACGTTGCTGCCGTCGTACTGCAACAAACTGACCTTGGTGTGAGCGGTCGTTGTCTGCGGAGGGCGCGGGGCTGTGCGCCTTGCTGATGGGCGACACGATCGGCGAAGCCACGTTGCTGCCGTTGTACTACAACAAACTGACCTTGATGGGAGCGGTCGTTGTCTGCGGAGTTCGCGGGGCTGTGCGCCTTGCTGATGGGCGACACGATCGGCGAAGCCACGTTGCTGCCGTTGTACTACAACAAACTGACCTTGATGGGAGCGGTCGTTGTCTGCGGAGTTCGCGGGGCTGTGCGCCTTGCTGATGTGCGACACGCTCGGCGAAGCCACGTTGCTGCCGTTGTACTACAACAAACTGACCTTGATGGGAGCGGTCGTTGTCTGCGGAGTTCGCGGGGCTGTGCGCCTTGCTTATGGGCGACACGCTCGGCGAAGCCACGTTGCTGCCGTCGTACTGCAACAAACTGACCTTGGTGGGAGCGGTCGTTGTCTGCGGAGGGCGCGGGGCTGTGCGCCTTGCTGATGGGCGACACGATCGGCGAAGCCACGTTGCTGCCGTTGTACTACAACAAACTGACCTTGATGGGAGCGGTCGTTGTCTGCGGAGTTCGCGGGGCTGTGCGCCTTGCTGATGGGCGACACGATCGGCGAAGCCACGTTGTTGCCGTTGTACTACAACAAACTGACCTTGATGGGAGCGGTCGTTGTCTGCGGAGTTCGCGGGGCTGTGCGCCTTGCTGATGGGCGACACGATCGGCGAAGCCACGTTGCTGCCGTTGTACTACAACAAACTGACCTTGATGGGAGCGGTCGTTGTCTGCGGAGTTCGCGGGGCTGTGCGCCTTGCTGATGGGTGACACGCTCGGCGAAGCCACGTTGCTGCCGTCGTACTGCAACAAACTGACCTTGGTGGGAGCGGTCGTTGTCTGCGGAGGGCGCGGGGCTGTGCGCCTTGCTGATGGGCGACACGATCGGCGAAGCCACGTTGCTGCCGTCGTACTGCAACAAACTGACCTTGATGGGAGCGGTCGTTGTCTGCGGAGTTCGCGGGGCTGTGCGCCTTGCTGATGGGCGACACGCTCGGCGAAACCATGTTGCTGCCATCGCCGCCTGCAACAAACATCACTAGCCCATCAATACTCCACGCCATAGACATATTTTTTTTGGATTTAACTTTTCAATGACAGTCCTAAAAACGCTAATCACGTGAAAACACTTGTTTGTTAGTTTAAGGTTCTAAACTATATTTACTGTATATATATACAATTTTTAACTGTATAAGTTTGTTCACCAATATAGTGTCGGTACACCCGAAGGCGGAGTTATTATTGCCCTTTTATTTTATTATTTTTTTATTTTATTATTTACTGTGTTTGTTAAATAAATGTTTATCTATTCTAAGAATTAAATAGAATACCATTTTACTCTTATGGTCATTGTAAACATTGTGAACAGGCGGAATCTTTCAGTAACGCTTCGTTTTAAAATTTCAAATTCTCCTGCGGGTGTACACCGCACGCGGTGACTTTTAGGGTATGTTCCGAAATACAACGCAGTGTACTGTCCAATGCAAATGACGTCATGAATCGACGCTATACTGGTGATTCGTTCCAAAACATTGGACAGTATAAGACGTCATACTTTTGCGCCATTTGGAAAAGTGTTGGCGATTATTTTGTCATTTTGTGCTCTAAAAATCATTATATCCTCCTAATGGATATACCATCAATTATTATATAATTTTTTGTATTTGAATAAATAGAAACAAATTCTGGCATGCTTTATTCGGCAAACACACAATTAAAAATTGTTTTATTATGGCCGGATATCCGACACAATATGGCGCGGCACGCTAGTACAATAAAGTGTCAAACTGTCAAATGATGACGTCATTTGCATTGGACAGTACACTGCGTTGTATTTCGGAACATATCCTTAATATCGCGGCGTCGTGACTGAAAGGTGACCGTATCTATGCGAACAGACTATACATATTTATAATTTAAAATTTTAACGATGCATAGGCATACACACATTTCTGTGTCACGATGTCGTGGTCATCGGCTTAGATGTGGAAACCCAGGTGAGTAAATAAATAAATACAAAAGAGTAAACATACTCTTTTGTAAATTATTTCTTTTTCAGAAGTGTTACACGAACAACATATTGGTACTCACTCTAATTTGGAGACAGAATTTGAATTTCACCACGCTTTTAACCTTAGAGTCCGACTCTACTGTACGTTAGTGACGCTCAATTGCTTGATGGATACCTAATTTTTTTTATCTAAATGGATTATAGAATTGTTTTAGGACTTTTTTTAACATTTTATTTTGCATATTTTCCTCGATACTTTTTTTTTGAATTTTGTACTCTATTTGTATACTACGTTATGTCCACATATTCTTGTTGTTTAAAGAGTTTTCTCATATTTTTTTCCGTAGAATATTTTTAATCGAGTTTATGTAAATAACAACAAAATGGATACCGGATAAGTTTTGTGCGTCGAGCGACAAGGAGCTGCCGGTGAAGTTGCTCTGGTATCCGCTGCTCGCCTGCGAGCTCGAGTTCAGCAAATGGTTTAGTGTTATCTGAAACAATTCGATTTTTATGAAATGAAAGTGACAAGCGAACTTAAAGTTGGGTAATTAGGTCTAAGGTAAAATTTAAAAAAATATTTCAAAAACGGACATTTATTTCAATTAAACATGAATCAGTAGAAGAATTAATATTCATAATTAAAAAGAGGTAAATTATGGTGAAGAAATACAAGCTGTTCAGCACGATCCGGGTCGAGTCTGTTGCGCTTTTTCTCATAGATATTACCAACTTCTGAAAAGAGGTGTTCACTATATAGGGAGCTGGCCGGAATGGTTAAATATCTAATCGCGAGACTTTTTATAATAGGGTAGTGACCCATATTATCGGCCCACCACTTATAGGGATTCATCTACGATCCCTTGCTGAGTTGAGATAGTGATCTAATTCGGCCATCGCTGAGTTTTTGGAGGAGTTCTGGTTAATTTCTGATTCTTCGGCCACCTCTTCGAAACAGGCCCAAAACAAATTATGTGTTTCAATATCCAATCTAGAGCTTTTTCCTGCTGTCCTTCCTAACTACCGAGCGTCCACCGGCCGGCAAGAACGCGCGAGGCGCGAACCGCTTGACTTCATGACTTGAATTCAGTCTCAATCACGCCCAAACAGGGAAGTGGAATATACGTCTTTTCATGACGGGTAATTTTGCCGTGTGCCCGGCTACCCGGCATAAGCTTGCACCGGGTACTCGGTTGCCGCGTACCCGGCAAAAGTAGGATCCGGTGCATCTCTATAAATAAGGCTATACCAGTACTCTTATTAGTTTGTGGGCTATACAGACCGAAACTCAACAGTGCCTTTTGGCACAGAAATTGATAAGAGGGTGGCGCCTACTCAGACTCCTAGAGAGAAGAAGAGTCCTACCACCAGTTAATCTAATATCAGTGTATAGAATTTAGGCGGTGAGGTGAAACATGGTAATTAGACCGGCATGAGGGGAATAATATAATTCAGGGACATGTTAAGTCCGCCAATACACTGAAGCAATGCGGTGGACCAAATGTTCCATAACCCTCAGAAATGGAGAAGGCGTACGCCCATCAAGGGGACCCATTTTATTTATTTATTTATGGTTTGTTGCTCTAACCTTAAATAAAAAGGTTACAAAGAGCGCATTTAATGCCTTTTGGCATTCTCTCCCAGTCATACGTATACAGGTTGCCCTTACGACACCAGTACTTATGGATTCTCTTTCAATTATCTTTATTAAAACAACAAAATCAAAAATACTCACAATGCAATGGTTGAGTATACTAAGCTAAAGGCTCGGACGGATTCTGTGGTTGGATTAATCACGTCAAAAATGCCTGATCTAATATTTAAAGAGAATCAAAGTATAGATTTTGATGCGAAATATAATGTGGTTTCGCATAATCGTTCAAGTCCAGTTGAGGTGTTATTAAGAGTTGACGTATGTAAATATTATATAATAACAACGATAAACAACCATAAATACAGATTATATGGTAAGAAAAAATATTTCATTAGTTTATACTTGGTCGAGCCACGCTGTAGCTACATTGTGGTCAGCTCGACAGGGGTAGGACCATGCTTTTACAGAATACCAACGTGAAAAGCAGCTTAATGATACTGTGTTTCGTATGGTGAGTTTGAAGAACCGTTTTATTGGAAACGAAGCATTTTATCTTCCTCAAGGGTGTGAACGCATTCGATTTTGATTTTTAACCGAGGATAGATGTTTAAATGGCTCACAATGTCCACTAACCATCAGATGGTTCGTGTACTCGTTTGTCGTCTATTTTATAAAAAAATCTACGACTTATTTAATATTTCACTTTAGTTTATAAAGCAACAAACTTACAGGCCTGCCATCTGCCGTCATTTGCTGGTAAGACGGCTGCACCACCACCGGCTGCTGCATGCCACCCATTTCTCCGTTTGCGCACATCGCTGCAATCAATCATAAATTCAAATATTATTGCATTTTTATTTATATGATTTTAGTACTTATGATGAAAAACATACAAATTAGATAAGTGGCCACAACCCTTCCTATATGATTTAAAAATTGGTCCAGTTTTGGATGAAGAAAGGTAAATATTATGCAAGCTAAATATAAAATTGAAGATACAACCACATTACATACATTTATAAATACACTTCTCTGTGTTATAATGCTATTTACGTTGCATTTTTCTGCCCAGAAATTTTCAGTGGAAGGCTGGAATAAGGAAATTGGTATTTCTCCTTCGTGCCTCAGAAAGCACGTGGAGATATGGTCTTGCGTCTGATCTCTCTTTTCGTATCAGAATGTCTTTTTTGACTATGAGTGAGGGAATAGAGCATGCATCTATGTTTGAGCGTACACTCGTGTACGTATAATCCCGTTCTGGCGGATGGCTAGTTGAGACTGACCGCCGTGACCAAAATTCCAAAAAAAAAAATAGTATCTCAAATTTGAAATAATTTATTAAACTAGTAAATGATCAAGTTTACATTTATTGTCTGATAAATGATGACATCTTGCAAGAATATATTCTTAATATGATTTGCAGTGATTATCATATTTTTTACTGTTCAATGAAATAGAGACTAAGTTGGAATAAATGATTTATAATAAGTACTTACGATTCCATGAAGCGGGCTGGTTCTTGTACATAAGCGGGGCGTTGTTTTGTGGCGCGGGGAAGTGTATCTGTGCACGCGGCTGGGGCGAGGGGATCATCCAGGGGGCGTGTGGCGGGTGGGGGGCGTGCGGCGTGAGGGGGGCATGCGGCGTGAGGGGGGGCATGCGGCGACAGCGTCGGGAAGGGCGGCGGCGAGGCGGGTGACAGCGGCGCGCCCAGCAGCCCGCTGCTGAAGCCCAGATCTAGGAACGGCGAACACGGCGACGCGGCGGAGCCGTTGCTCGGCGAAAACGGGTTGAAGGCACCGAAATTTATCGCGCCCGCGGGCATCGCCGGAATGTTGTACGACTCCGGGATCTCTGCCGTGACCGGGGGCTCATTGCCGCCCAGCAACTCGCGACGGGCATCGTAGATGTCGCCTTAGACAAAATAACAAGTTTGAACAATGTGTACAAAGTGGAATATAAAAGTAGTAAGTTCGTGATTTTTATGTATAAAAATAATAATGGACGTATAAAGATGTCGATTTTAATAGTTACTCTCACTAGAAATTTCTCTTGTGGAGATGGTTAACGTAAATAAATTGCAAATAGACAAACGTACAGGCAATCTGGTATGATCTAGGAACAGTAACCGATGCCTAAGCTTGAAGAGATTGACAAGAGTGACGAATCTGGTGATAAGTCACTCTTGTCAATCTCTATCATACGCCGCACAACACTGATGTTATCTTCAGTCGTCGCCGTAAAGTCCCTCACGCAGATCATCGGTTCATCGGTCAGATTAGTGCGACCACGTTTAAACACATTAAACCAGTTTTAAACAGTGGAACAAAATGGGGGTTCATCGTGAAGCCCGATCGAAGTCTATCATAACTTTCTTGTTTACTTAAATGACGTCAAAAGTCAAAAAATCATTGTACGAAAATTTTCTCGCGTTAAATTTATGCTGACGTGACACAGACAATTTTCAATTTGCCGCCAAATCGTAAACAAATGACAAATTAATAAAATACATACACAATATTATAGACAAAGAGTTCCATTTTCAAAATTTGAAGTTATTTTTTATTATATTATCGTTTACATGTGGCCAGTTCTAAAAACTTTCAGTGTCGCCCTCGTACCTATAATATATAATATGCTGTTGTGTGGATCAACTCCCAATTTTTAAAAAAATTTAGGAGGGCAAGAAAACATTTTTATTATTCCCCGATTAATAGATTATTCATCAGAAAATGAATCGTATCTTACCTTTGCGGCGTCAGCAACGAATTGTTTGAACTATTCTGTTGCTTTTACAGTTTTTTAATGTTTTTTTAACAATTTCACTATCCTGTATGTCATATATAAATATTCCAATTGTTTAACTATTGTCTTTTTCGCGGACAGGGAAGTTGTTAATTCGCTATAATTTTAATTTGTTAAAAACTCATATAGACTCTTCCTAATATAAATAAAATATAAAATAATAATAGTATCGTTAACATAAAAAGTTGCCTGTGATACTTCGCGTCTGAACACGATTATAACAACAGGGTCGCTACATCGTCAAGTCATTTAGGCTACAGATCACAAGAGACAGGATTAATATACCTAATACACACCCGAAAATCGAAACCCAGGGTATTTATTATACAAGGGTAGGAATGATATGTCCCTTGGATCAAGAAGCTGAAGTGGCAATGGGCTATGGGACATATAGCTCGACAAACCGAAAACACATGGAGAAGAAATTAATATTCTCGAGTACTCGTTCCAGTAATTCGAAGCATAAGGTGTCCCCCTCTCTAGATGGAATGACGACCTGGTAAGATATGCCGAAAACCGATGGATGCAGGTGGCTCAGCACCATGTTGTCTGAAATTCTTCGGGTAGAGGGAGGCCCATGTGCAGCAATTAACTTGTGTTAATTAGTTAGTCACAGCCTATATACTTACGTTCCACTGCTCGGAACAAGATTCCCCTCATTTCTGAGAGGGTTTTAGGGCAAGGAATTGTCCGCCGCGCTGCCCCTATGCGTGTTGGCGAACTTCACATGCCTTTTTTTTATAGGATAAGGTGACGAACGAGCACACAGTCCACCTGATGGTGAGTGGTTGCTGCGGCTTATAGACATCTACATCTATCCTCGATTACAAATAAAAATGCAAATGCGTTGTCACACATGAGGACTAAGATGGTATGCCACGTTTCCAGTAAAAACGCTCTCCGGTTCTCTACACGCACCATACGAAACACAGCAGCATTAAGCTACTATTTTACGCTGGTATTCTGTGAGAACGTGATCCCGGTCGAGCCGACCCACTCCTGCTGCAACTATACTACTAATATAACTGCAGCATGACTCTACCACGTATAAGAAAATCTTTGAAATATTTTTTTTTATTTCTCAGACATGAAGGTTTTCTCTCGATGTTTTCCTTCACCGCCGAGTTAGTGGTAAATCAGCACTCAAAATTGCAATTAACGTTTTCATTGGTGCCGACGGGGATATAAACCGATTCGTTCGCGTACTGTCAGATTTACAGCGAGCGCTATGCATCTGAACTATATATATATATATATATATATATATATATATATATATATATATATATATATATATATATATACTTGTCACTGCATGTTCACACGCACTAAGCACTTGTCATTTGTCAGTTGTACTTGCCACTCGCACTTGTCACTTCTCAAAATGTAAACGGGGCCTAAGATGAAAAGATACGTAGCCAGTAAAAAGTACACACGAATATTATGCTGCAATTTCACACTGGTGTTATGCGAGAGCATGATGCTTCCCTAATCAGACCACTCGTTCGTGCTGCACCTATACAGTTCAAGCATGACTTAATAAAGCAAGACTTAGTAACTCACCAGCGCATCTCTCGATGCCCTTTATAACCACTGAAGCGATGCCCTGTTTTGGTTTACGACGTATACTGATGTATACGTTGTACTTTTGCATGAGTTTCGCGGCCATGTCGTTTTCTATGCGACACGCTTCTTCAGACACGTCGAATATCACCACGAGTGGGAGGCTGCCCTGTATAATTAAACATAATAATTTCGATATTGCATTTTCACTTGGTCACTAAATGATTAAATGTTATTTCTTCGAGGTAGTAGGATTACAAAGAAAACAGCGGATGACATTAATCTTGATTTTTCATATTACTCAACCAATTAAGACATGGAACATTTAAAGTGACGCCTATACCAAGGCGAAATGTGTTCAAGTTTTTATATAGATTAAAGGTGACATACGAGCACATAGTCCACTAGATTGTAAGTGGTTACCATGGCCCATAGAGATCTAGATTTATACTCGGTTAAGGATCAAAACGCAGATGTGTTGTCATCCCTGAGGACTAAGATGCAATGCCTCATTTTCAGTTAAAAGAGTACATTTACTGTAAAAACACAAACTTAGACACACAAACGCATCTAAAGTAATTTACATACAACGATATGGTTTTAGGTGCATATCTGTGTGTCCGCCAGTGGACTTTCACGGGCTTTTAATGATAAAATGAAAAGAGATGTGTGCATATTGCAGCGCTCGATCTATCTTTATTATCTTTATATAAACAAATGTACATTTAGTATAAGAGTAGTCTCATAAAAATAGTCTGAAGACAGATTTAATAGAAAGCCCACAGTGCTGGTGGGTGACGACCGGCGCTGCAACACGATATTTTTTTATAGAATAAGGTGACAAGCGAGCACACAGTCCACCTGGTGGTAAGTGGCTGCTGTGGCCCATAGACATCTACATCTATCATCGTTTGCGAAGCAAAATGCAGATGCGTAGTCACCCCTGAGGATTAAAATGGAATGCCTCTTTTTCAGTAAGGGGGGTCTTCGGTTCTCTACACTCACCATAGGAAACACAGCATTAAGTTGCTATTTTAGGCTGGTATTCTGTGAGAGCGTTGAATACTAATATATACATAATAGAACGGGGGAGTGGGAGGAGCCCTTGTAGCCACTAAAATGTCAATTCACACGTATAAATGTCAACACGAGACGTGTTTTGACGTAACAATCGTTTCCAAATTTCGCATGCAAATTATTTAGAAATGACCAAATTGCACGCTATTTACAAATAAATATGTATTAAAATCTAGACGACTTTTTTTAACGATAATTTTGAACATTAATCAAAAGTTAAAATGTGTAAATTTATTCAGTCTATCAAAATAGCGAATCGGGTTTGTAATAGTGATAATACGACGTAATTGTATGTGTGCTCCTGGCGACGCGGAATCTCGTACAAAATAATGTTGACTGCCATTCTATTGTGTATTACAGTATACATCTATGTGTGAGAGCATGGTCCTTCCCCGGTCGAGCCGATCCATTCATGCTACAACTATACAACTAATAATGCTGCAGCATGGCTTTGCCACGTTTGAAATTCGCGCCGTCAGTAATTACCTTATCATGTGTGTCGCCTAAATGCAAAATTATTGTTCCATACTGATCCTCAGTTACCAGCAGTTAGTTGACCCCTCCTATAAGCGTGAGGATTTGTCACGGTAACCACGCTTAGCTAGTAAGATGGATTTGAATCGCAGTGCGATATGTCTCGGATTTGTGATGATATTCCCCATTCCTAATTTGTTATAGCGAGATGGTTATATGGTTGGCTATCGAACGCCATACACAACACTGAACACAAAATTTTCAGACTGGTGATTGAGAGCATCAGCCCAGCGTGCAGATTATGGGTAAATATTTCAAGTAATGCTTGAAGACACAGTAAGATATGCGGGAAGTCGTTGGATGCAGGTGGCTCAGGACCGTGTGCTTTGTGTCATTCCTTGGGCATTTGAAGGTCTTTGTTCAGCAGTAGAGTCTTGTAGGACTAATGCTTATAATGATAAATGCTTGCTGGATGAGATATCGTCTTAAGTCAATATTATCTAACAAAAAGACATTTCAGCTTTCATGAATAAATACACCATTACTTGCTGGCGTGCGCATGCAACTATCTTATTTTGATAAATAAAATTAATAATAATTTAGTATTAAAATGATCTATGTGCAGCCGAAAACATTAAAAAAATGTTTGGTTATATTTATGTGTATTTATATGTGGTAGAGTCACGTTATATTTATACGTGGTAGTCACGCTGCAGCTATGTTATGGTAGCCACACGAATGAGTCGACTCGACTGGGACAGGATTACTACGTTCTCACAGAAGATCAGCGTATAATAATAGCGTAATGCTGTTGTGTTTCGAATGGTGAGTGTAGAGAACCGGAGATTCTTTTTCTATGTAGCATTTCATCTTCGTTTTAAGCGCTTACAACGCATCTACGTTTTGATTTTTAATAGAAGTTAAATGTAGATGTCCATTGGTCACAGTGCCATCAGGTGGACTGTGTGATCGTTTGCCAACCTAATTCTATAAAAAGTAATCTATAAAATAATAATAATAAAGTGTTTGACTATTATTATACCTGATAGGAAGTAACGATGTATATTACCAATTACCACTATAATTGCACTTTAGATGTGAAAACCATCATATAGTGTTTTGCGGTGTTGTTATTTCAGTTAAGCCACGTTGCTGTATCGGAAGTTGTATTATAGGTTTTGTTGTGCGGCAGTTAAGAGAGCGAGGCGTTACCACCAGTTGCTGCCTGGCCGCGTACACGTCCTTCATGCCGCCCGTGATGGTGACGCAGCTCTTCCTGAGCGCAGGGATGTTAGGGTCGTCGGCGTCGGGGAACATGATCTGGGCGCGCGTGGCGCGCACGATGGCCTTCAGCTGCTCGGCGCCGCGCCCCACCACGACGCCGTGGTGCATCGCCGAGATCTCCACGCTCATCTGCACTTGCGTCTGGCTCTGCACAATGCCCAAACAATATTTACCACGCTCATTTTTAAATTTTATATTATATAAACAATGATATACCGCTATTGCAGCTTTAAAAATACGAATTAATAAGGCTTATAATTTTATTTGAAATTATCCCAAATTGAATGTGATTTATGGGAAACAACTACGTGTAAGCGTGCTCCTCTGTGTGCGAATCAATTCATAACGTTTTTGCCAACGATCAACCCTTACGAATATGTTCGTCCGTAGTAAAATAGTAGACGTTAAATATTTGTGAATGACAATCAGCTAAAATAATGCATTACAACTCGGAATTTAAACACAGTGAAAAAGAATGTTTGTGATTTTTTAATTAAATTTTCTTCACTATTCGCCTAACTTATTCTCAACTTTATCGGCAAATTTGGGCATACGTTGGAAAATAAACCTAATATATATGACAAAGTAACATCCTCCGAACGTCTCTCTGTAAGACATACGTAACTTAACGTAACTTGCAGACAAGAAAAAGGAAATAAACTCGTTAACAAACGTTTTACTTGGGGCAAGCAGTACACTACACTTGGTCCCGTGAAGGCGTATACGTAAGAGATTTCACCGGGAAAATAAAAAGAGATGAAACAATACCTGCCGACAAAATTTTCTAAAAATGAGTACGGTGTATGAAATATATAACTTTTATCTTAGAGATGATTCAGTCAAACACTTACAGCTAAGGGTCCGCACATGTACTTCATGAGCAGTTCGGTGGCCTCCATGGTGGCCTGCACTTCCCACTGGACTCCTTTCACCACCAACAAGTTGGCGTGTAGTTTTGGACGATTACGCACCATTACCTATAAAGAATTAAATTTTTAAATAATTACTATAACCCTTTTTTATTCAAGTAAAAGTGATTAACTAGCACAGTGGTGGTAGCTGAAATATTTGAAATATTTTTTTCTCCATTTTAAAAGTTAGTAAATCTAAATAAATTTTTTTTCAACACTCCCACCTGATAGTAAGTGGATACTTATCCACATCTATCCTCGATTAAGAATCAAAGTACAGATGCGTTGTCAGCTCTGATGACTAAAAGGTTCTCCGGCTTTCGTCACTCACCATAAGAAATAAAGCCGCGTTATGCTGCTTATTTTATGCTTGTGTACTGTGTGGACGTGGACCTTTCCTGGCCGGGCCAACTTATTAGTGCGTAGCGTGACTCTATCACGTTGATGTTAGCTACTTCACGTGGAACGTGACTTACTTGCTGGCGGCATTGAAGACATCATAATATACTGTATTAGACTATTATTTAACGTTTCTTATATATTTAGATAGAGACTGATGCACACGAATTATTTAAAACATTTCGACGAATTCTTCGAAGCGATACGTAGTTGGCGAGTATTTCGTGATGCAGCTAAAATCGAATGCGATATTTGCAGCTTCACTTACCTGCACGTTGTACTTCTCCTGCACTTGCTGCACGTAGGGCGAGTTGATATCGGGCAGCGGCTGCGAGGGGGCCACGATCGGCAGTTCGAAGCAGAACACCAGCGGCGTCAGCGCCTAACAAACCCAACGCTTATTGTATATATGTACGTATATTACGCTTATTGTAATAAGTTCAGTTTAAATTGTCAAAGCAAGCATCCCACTGGGAACATATTTCTGCCGACAAATAGCAGCACCTGCACTGCAGTGTTCACTGCACTGAAGTGTATAGAGAAGTTGTACAATTACAGGCTGGCATCTTAATCCCCCCCCCCTTAACGGGATCCCGCCTTGTCGTGGCCGGAGGGCTTAGTAGCCGTTACTTGGTCACTCGCGGTGAACAAACCGGAATCCACATGCCGGCCCGAGGTGGCCACTTTGAATGGGCTTGGCGAGCGCACTTCGGATGTGTGTTGGTGGGCTGCGGTGAGAGAGGTGTCCTCTATCCCTTTTCCCAGCGCCGGCGCTGGTGGGGCCACGGATGTCTGCGAAAGCGTTTCCGTGGCCGTGGCCTAGGTAATATGCGATGAAGGTAGAACATGTGCGAGTCCGACATAACCCGTCCTTACCATTTTCCTATGTAAAAAATAAAATAGAAAACAAGAATATCGGCTTAGGCCTCAGAGGTGACGATGCATCTATTGCCGTCTTTGTTTGAATTGACTCCAGGTGTCCATTAGCCAATTATCATCAGTTGGACTATTCCTTTCGCCGCTACAGTTTAATAAAAAGAAAGTGATGAAGAACTGATGATGTTTCCGAAGGATACGGAGTAGAAACGTGCTCCCTGCAGTGCGAAGGTGGTGGTTGTAAATTTCTCTGTTAGCTTGATTTTTCTACTTTTAGTAATGTCTCAAAAGTTAAATTATTTTACCCTTTTAGTGGTCTATGGAATATCACATGTTCAATCAAGGTAACAACTAAAATATCTTTTGAATAGGTACATTAATATCTTCATCTCTTATTCTTTATATTATTGGTATTTTTGATTCTTATTTATATGGGACCACACCCAGAGAGTCTGCGTGCGAGACGATTCGTAATGACTCTCGAAAACAGCACGTAGACGCGGCTCAAGGGAAATCGGTCTGTAGTTCTTCAAGAGAGCGTTGTCGCCTTTCTTAAAGAACAAGACCACCGCGCTTCTGCTCCACTCCTCCGGAGTAATGCCACCATGGAGGACGGAATTGAAGAGCTCATGAATGACTTCAAGTACCGGTGTTCCACCTGCTTTCAGAAGCTCCGCTGTAATTCCATCCTCGCCCGGAGCCTTGCAGTTTTTAAGGTGGTGGAGAGCCATTCTAATCAGACTGACGTCCGGGATATCATCGGAATAGTGTCGGATAAGACTTGCTCTTGGATCGTTACTATCACACTTGCGTGTGGCTCCAACGATGATGTGTAAAGCTGCCCATAGAACCTCTCAATCTCACTCAGGTGTCCCGGAAACGATGTTGCCACACTCAGTCTTCAGTCTTGACAGTTGGCTCCTTCTGGCAGACAGATCTCTGGCAAAGACTTTGGAACCCTGGATCCACTCAATCGCTTCTTTAATACGAGCAGTATTAAAGTTGCGTAAGTCTCGCCGCATGCATTTGGAGATCTGTCTGTTCAGCTGCCTGTATGCTGTCAAATCTGTTGACTCGACGACTTCCAGCCTCCCGAACAAGCCGGTTTCCGAAAAGGCTTCAGTACCATAGACCACATACATACCCTTCGGCAAATTGTACAGAAGTCCGAAGAGTACAATCTGCCACTTTGCCTGGCGTATGTGGACTATGAGAAAGCCTTTGATTCCGTCGAAATTTGGGCGGTGCTACAGTCTCTTCAGCGGTGCCTAGTTGACTGTCGGTATATTGAAGTGCTGAAGTGTTTGTACAGAACCAGAGTTTGTAACCTATCCAACTGCAGAGAGGTGTAAGACAGGGTGATGTTATATCCCCGAAACTCTTCACCGCTGCATTGGAAGACGTTTTCAAGCTACTGGACTGGAAAGGATACGGTATTAACATCAATGGCGAGTACATCACTCACCTTCGATTTGCCGACGATATAGTCCTTATGGCAGAATCGCTGGAGGACCTTAGCACTATGCTCAATGACCTCAATGGTGTCTCCCAACGGAAAGGTCTTAAGGTGAACATGGACAAAACAAAGATCATGTTTAATGTCCATGTCACACCTATGCCGGTAGTTGTTGGGAGCACTATGCTCGAAGTTGTTGACGAGTACGTTTACCTGGGACAAATAGACCGACTAGGTAAGTCCAACTTCGACCGAGAGGTCAATCGACGGATTCAACTCGGCTGGACAGCGTTCGGGAAATTACGACACATCTTCTCATCAGGTATACCTCAATCTCTGAAAACTAAAGTGTACAACCAGTGCGTGTTGCCAGTGATGACTTACGGATCTGAGACGTGGTCCTTCACCGCTGGCCGTATGAGGACGCTCAAGGTCTCTCAGCGAGCTATGGAGAGGGCTATGCTCGGAGTTTCACTGCGTGATAGACTCAGAAATGAGGATATCCGCAGTGAAACCAGAGTGACCGACATAGCCCAACGGATTAGTAAGCTGAAGTGGCAATGGGCCGGCCATATAGCTCAAAGAACCGATAACCGATTGGGGAAGAAAGGTTCTCGAGTGGCAGCCTCGTACCGGTAGGCGTAGTGTAGGGCGACCCCCCACTAGATGGAGTGACGACCTGGTAAGACATGCAGGAAGTCGATGGATGCAGGCGGCTCAGGACCGTGCTTTGTGGCATTACTTGGGGGAGGCCTATGTTCAGCAGTGGACTTGTGAAGGGCTGTAATGATGATGATGATGATGACACCCAAAGAATAAACTATTAAATAAAAAAGTTCATACACAAAGAAGTATTGCCCGAACATACATAAAAAAATTCATAAACTCTTTCTGACTTTTTTGAAACCTGCTAATAAAAATATACAAAAAAATAATTTATAATATACAAACAAAGCCTCTGCTGAACACAGGTCTCCCCCATAGATTTCCACACAACATGAATCTGAGCCACCTGCATCCATCGATACCTTACAACATTCATTAGTAAGTCACTCCTATCTGAGTCGAAGTTGCCACTCTAGAAACTTACTTCCCCATCGGTTGTCGGTTGTTAGAGGTGTATTGGTCTTCAGAATATTTAATTACAAAAACTTTGAATAAAACTATTATTTACGGATTTTATCGCGTTTAATTCAACTTTTATTATCCCGAGTTTATCGACGACGCGACGTGCTGTAAAGCACCCGAAACGGGATAATAAAAATAAATTAAAGTTAAATTAAACGCGATAAAATCCGTAAATAATAGTTTTATTCAATGTGTAGTGTTCGCGTAAATTTAAGAAATCATTACAAAAACTTTATTTTTCTAATGAAATGTTGATAATGATTTCTCTTCACAGACGAATACTTGGTATATATAATAATAAAATCAGCACGCTAAATTCTATGGAACAATTACATTGTTGCTCTCGTATAACTCTGTATTTTTTGATCGTGTGTGCGTGCGTGCGTGAGTACTGAGTACGTGCTTGTGCGCGTTACACACATTATACTTACATCATGCAGGATCTTCTCCCAGTCGGCCCACGGCATGCAGATGGACAAACGGATTATGAAAGTTATTCATAATATAAAATACAACATAAACAAGTTATAAAATACAAAAAATAAAATTAGTTCAGTTATTTTACTTTTATATAGATATTCAGTCAGGTCATAATTGAAAAAAAAAACGATATCGTTAATTTTTGTCCTATAAAAAGTAAAAAGAACCTGATAGTATATATATTATATATAGTAGATGTAAACTTATTTATCGGATATAATAAGATTCTGTAGTATATTTCCTGAGGCTAACGATTCTCGAAGAATAAAATAGGACAATGGATCAATTTTGTTTATCTCTACCACGACTTAACGCCTGATCGCCTGTTTCATGTAATTCTTTAAATATTATTATTGATCATGGGTATGAACACAATTTTCACATAGTAAAATTACAGCTCATAAACGTCCTACTACTGAAGCTGAACATAGCTTGCTCACTTTACTTTTGCTGAGACGATTTTAGGAAAAGAAAATGTCAGCGCGCTGCCTCAATACGTTTTGGCGAACTTCATAATTATGTCTTTGGAATATGTTTTTTAATTTATCAGATATGCAGGTTTCCCCACGGCCTTTTTCTTCATCGCCAAGCATCCGGTAAGTCAATTTTAAGAATTTTGACGGCTCCGTGGCGCAGTGGCTTAGCAATGAATTACAGCGCTAAGGGCCGCGGGTACGAATCCCGCACGGAACAAATATTTGTATAGTCTACAAGTAATTATTCCAGGTCTGTATGTTCGTCCTTGTGAAATATATGTTTGTAAACTGCCCCCACGATACAGTAGAAAATCCTAGTGTGGAGGTAAGGTTTTAAAAAAAAAATTGCTAGTAACAATTTTATTCGTGCCGGCAGGGCTCGAACTCGGGTTGCTCGGGTACTGAGAAATTTACATTAGTTATTAGGAGTACATACCATTTCTAAACAAGCGTATTTGAGTATTCAATGAAAATAAGACTAAAAAAAGCTTAACAATATTATACTGTTAAGCTTTGATAAGATTGGCCCTTATGTGGAGAATAATTTCAAGTTCACTTCTCCAAATATACCTGTATTTATATTGCCAATAACGATTTAATGTCTTATTTTGAATGATAAAAATAAACAAACCTCTAGACCTAGAATGAAGTATGACCTACATTGAAAGGCCTTACAAATTATCTTGTCCTCTATGATAGATTGATATATTCCGCTGCGGGACTTTCTATTTTAAATTTTATTTCATCTCACCCGAACACGTGCCCTGGCCCGTTCCACTCTCTCCATATCGCCGGCTATTGACACTTGGTTGCTCTTCTCCATGGTGCTGGTGCGGTTCGAATCCGGGAAGTGGATGTGGCAGCCAGTCTCTTCCATCACGCGTTTGATTGTGAGCCCGCCCTGAGAAATTGCAAATTGTGAACACATTCTACATCTACATGTGCACTAATATTATAAATAGGTAACCTTATTTGTGTGTACGTTTGTTTGTAGGATATAATAAAAAGTCAATATAAAGCTACATTGTTTCGATGTGATACTCTCTATGTTTACTATACATAAATAGCGTAACGCCTGTAGACCCCGAGGTTGTTAGGCAGAGTCCAAAGAGAAGCGAGCTACACGAACTACGCGTAGCCAAACAATATGGGTTTAATTCGAAAATTGTGAAAACAGGTGTGATATAAGTTGTTTTAAATTCTTTTTCGTCATAAGCCTCACATAAACATGAAACCTATAACGCTCCAGACTGACATATGGCTTTGTTTTTTGTGATCAAAATTAGTATCCAGTATAAAAGCAGAGTATTTTTATAAATCAAGTCTTTACTAGCTTGCGCTAATCAAACTGTTTGAATTGTTAAAATCAATTAAAGTAACTTTAGTTTTTTTATTAGTTTATGAGTGTGCATTTTTGGTATCTATTTTTTTAAGTTTGTAAAATTAAAGCAAATACATTGCTTTAATTTTACAAACTTAAAAAAATAGATACCAAAAGCTAGACCCTTTTTACTGGAAACGAGGCATTCCATCTCAGTCCTCACGGGTGACAACGCATCTGCATTTTGATTTTTAATGGAGGATAGATGTAGATGTCTATGGGCCGCAGCAACCACTTACCATCAGGTGGACTGTGTGCTCGTTTGTCACCCTATTCTATAAAAAAAAAAAAAATTGCTTTTACACGAATACCACGCGGGAGAAGCTGTGTGGAGTTGCTAGATAAATATAATACGACCCCGGATCCTAGTGGTCGGACTACCCGGCTACGTCGCAGATTAACTCCAGCTAGAGCTAACAATTGAGTAAAATCAACTTTTGAATATTTATTAGGTAAGTCTAGCACGATCCCCACAATCTTAAAACAAGAGTGTAGAGTGTACTCCAGTGCGTGTTGCTAGTGACAGCTTATAGAACCGTGAGGTGTTCAACACTGCTAACACTTTAAGTGGATGTTGTGGCCCATAGACATCAACATTTATCCACGATTAGGAATCAAAATACAAATGCGTTGTCGCCCGTGAGATGCCTCACATGAAACACAGCAGCATTGAGCTAGTATTTTACATTGGTATTCTGTGAGAGCGTGTTCCTACCCCGGTCGAGGCGACACATTCGTGCTACAACTATAATATAATTGCATCGTGGCTCTATCACGTAAAATTTCATTCTTTGTTGTTCAATATAATTTTATAAATGCTATTTCTAGATTGTAGTGTGGTCTTACTATGTATATAAAACTACTTAAGTTATAAAAGGTTGATTAACGCTGTAATTAACCAGTATTGTGCATTCTTCAACTTTAAGTCGTGTTTATCGCTAGCATGCCGTAATGGAAAATATTCCAGGTTGGCCTTACCCGCATTGTTTGAACGTGAGTTATTCAGATGCTGCATAGCGCTGTACGCATTATTACCGTATTAGCTAGTACGTATTACATTTATTTTAATGCCTCATTAATTAATTAATGATAATATATATATATATATATATATATATATATATATATATATATATATATGAATGAGGTTCTGTTACAGTAAGGTATTAAGAAAATGTCCGCAATATATATAGGATTATTAAGTTTATGTTGCTAAGGAACATTAATATATCTTATAATTAAGTTTCTTCATTGGCAATCTCTTACTGGCATCAGTAAATGCAATGCACACCCCATTATATCCAGTGACGACTCTGGAAACACGCAGGAAGTTGACACAGAAGCCAAATGCACCCAGTATTATAGGATCATACGCTGCGCAATTCTCGAGATCGAGAGAGTATGCAATATTGAAAATTATGGAATAACAGAAACTCTGTCTAGACAGAGTAATTTCTTTTTACTAGTTATTTCAGTTAGTATGCAAAGTTTCATGATCTTATTTAAAGTATTTTATGAATAACAGCGGTTTATTGTTCAGTTTGGAGGTAACTTTGGATTTTTTTCTTTCGAGAAAATTTTACGGAATCATGTTTTCGTCTAACATAGTACTTAACATTAATCCTCAACTTTATCATATATTTATTTCAAAATTAATGCTGCAATGTTTTCGGCATAACGGATGATCTTGCTAAGCCATTTAAGGTTATATTTCCCCTTAATGTGTATAATATTTAAGAAAACATCGTGTAAGTTAGTTTAGATCGTAGACTACCAGGCTCTACGGGATAAATGATTAAGATAGCGAAAAATACCGAACTCATTAATATCAAACTTAACACGCAGGAGCTGTAATGATTTCGGTGTAATTAATAAGTCATAGTCATCAAACATTGACATATATTACTAGCGTAAGGACCGGGCCGATCGAATAACTAAAACGGACCAGTGCGCTGGCCCTAAAATTACAGTTTAGGCCCAACGCGTATCGGTCGACAGTGGTGCGCGCGCATGACAGATTTGCCTGTCACAAATATGTTCAGTTGCGTAGTAAAAGAATGCAAAAATTACGATACAAAGATTTAAAAAAAATGGGATATCGTATCATCGGTAAATAACCCTATATTAATTTTATCACAATAAAATTATTATATAAACGCATTTTTAAAGTTTTCTTTTACAGTTAGTTTAGTTACGTTACCAAGATTAGGCCTGGATTGGATTCAGACCCTCAAAATATTGTACATGGAAAATAAGATTACACTATTTAAAAAAATTATATCACGTTTGAAGTTTCATGTTTCTTTTTTCAATGTGCCGGGATTTTGGCGTCACACGTCTAGTTTATCTATAGGTACGTTTCGTTTTTTGACGGTTTTATTTTTATTTCTGTTTATTTTTTGTTTAAGAACTTAGTGTAAGTTAAATCTTGAATATTGGTACCTAATATATTTTATATACAATATGGGTAAAACGAAAAGAGTACAAAAAAAACCATATCTGCTTAATTGAATCTGAAAATCTGATTCATAAAATATTTTGAAATTCTGTTTTCAAACCGATTGGTTCTGGAGCAGGAGCATAGAGTTTTTATCGTGGTGGCCCCTCATAGTTGTGTCAAGGATGCAACATAAATGCATCGATCGAACATCTATTGACCAGAGAGGGAGCTAATTCTAATTTTATTTTTAAAAAACGCGGCTCTCATGTACAATACAGAAATTCTCGATATCGTAGGATTAATATTAAAGTGTAAAAAGACCCAATAATATTACAAGTCAACCTTTAGACAAATTTATGTACGGTATTTTCGCTTAGTATTATTACCATACTATGTAGTACAAACTATGAAATAATGGTACAATCAGTATAATTATACTACAAAATCCGACCCTGGTTACGTCGTGTTTTGATGTGACGTTTGTATTATGACAGATACGCTACCTTTTCTTGTATGAAAAAGTTATGAGTAAAATATTTAGATGGACCTATCCTTCCTTTTGAAATCATTGTCATGAAATTATTGTTTTGTCATAGTTTCTTAACCTTTGCGAAATTTCAGATTATACAAAGGTTATAGATAACATACATAGGTACTGGACATGTTAATAGAAACTCGTTAAAGACACTAAACATTTCACATATTAAGTGTCTCTTAGTTAGTTCGGCGTAACCTCCTGGATTTGAAAGGTTATTTTTTTAAATTTCCATAGCACAAAACATAAATACAGAAAGGTCAACTTTTTGATTTATTATACTCGTAATTACACGAATATTGAATTGAATATAAAATAAAATCGATTTTGCTTTAAGTTCATATTAATGATTTGAGTAATAGAGGCCCTATGATCATGGGGCCCTATGTCTTTGACGTGTTGTTTTCGCAGATAACAGTGGCTGCCACTTGCTTTTTATTGTTCAAAATCATAGTAAAAAGCAAGTGAACTCAACTTCTAAGTTTTGAAATTAGAAAAATTATACATATTTTCTTGTAGTATTTAGTGAACTAAACTGTTATCAGCCTTATATACTTTGTTTACAAGTGATGTAATAGCGGCTCTACAAGAACTTGTCATGTCCCAAATGACGGAGTCACGTGTGTGAAATTAAAAGATTTATCAATTATCTTACTTGCGTTTGATGAATCAGCTTACTGAGTCATGGGAAATTGAGTCCCGTTAGTATTTAACGTTTGTGTTAAAATAATTAGTTCTTAGATCTGATATGGAATGCCTGCGTTTATTTTTAGTTTATTATGTATATATTATTTAGTATATTTTTAGTTTATTATATATCACAGTTCAACTGATCGTAATATATCATATATATCATATCATATCGTAATGTATCATAGTCATCCACATTTATCCTCAACTAATGATGGAATTCTTCGATTTCATTAAAAAGGGTCTCCGGTTCTCTACACTCACCAGACGAAACACAGCAGTATTACGCTGTTATTTTACGCTGGTATTTTGTGATAGCGAGGTCCTGCCCTGGCCGAGCCGACACATTCGTGCTACAAATTAATATAATATAGCTGCAGTGTGGCTCTACCACGGTATGGACGGTTTTTAGAGTAAACGAAGCAATCCATCTTTCTGCATAGATGTGACAATGCGTCACACAGCATTAGGTGGACAGTGTACTCTTTGTCACCATTATTCTATAAAAAAAAAGAGGCTACGATTCGTACCTCGGTCAAGCCAACCTAATCGTGCGCCGATACGCTGCAGAGCTCTACTACTCGTTTCGTATGATGAGTGATGAGACACGGTGACCCTTTTTACTAGTAAGTAGGCATTCCATCTTATTCATCGGGATAACTGACCTGTATTTTGATTCTTAATCGACTTTAGATGTAGATACGAGTATGTATGTGTTTAAAAGATGAAATGTGTGAACATCACTCATACATTCATCAATAATAATAAATAAAATAAAATTAGGATATAGTTTTTTTTTTCAAAAACTGCGTTTGTGTAGTAAATACTTATTTTTAAATTCGAAATATATTAAAAATATTAAGATATTAAGTAGAGAAAGTACGTTAAGTAGGTACCTTAGTTGAAGTAAATATTAGAAATATTAAGTAAGCTATAATACGATATAGTATAATTGATTGAGTAAGATAACGTTAACTGTATACAATACTTTTGTTTTAAAGCGCCCGCTATACATTTGACAGCACGCGATCAAACCAGGTTCGATCCCCGCCGACACCAATGAAATTATTAATTGCAATTTTTAAGTGCTGATTTACCACGTGCTCTGCTGTGAAGGAAAACATGGTGAGGAAACCTGCATGTCTGAGAAATAATAAAAAAAAATCGACGACATTTGAAGTAAGCCGACACACATTGAGGTAGCACGTCAGACACTTCCTTGCCCTAAAACCCTCTCAGAATTAAGAGCGGGCCTGTGTCCAGCAGTGGGATGTATATAGGCCGTTATTTTACTCTAGTACTTGCCTAGTTTACCACCTGACGGTAGGTGGTAATATTGCTGAAGATCATAAACTGTTCTAAGTAAGCTAAACAAAAGCCTAATTAGTCTTGCCTTGAAGACACCCACATTATAATCGGATGGGAAGGCAGATGCTGACTAAGTTATATCGCCCTATTGATGCACGCATTATTGACCGAGCGTTTGGTTGTCCGATGGTGGAAGACAGAGGGAGGATTTACGCATGCAATACCTACATGATTTAATAACCGAGTGGGAAAAAAATTTCTCGAATGGCAACCGCAGACGACCTGGTAATACATGCAGGTGGCTCAGGACCGTCCTTTTTGGCATTCCTTGGGAAAGGCCTATGTTCAGAAGTGGTCTTGTGAAGGGCGGTAATGGTGATGATGATAAATACCTGCGTACACACTCCGAAATTGATTCTGTAGACACCCAAAAATTGTCGCTAAATATTATACAATTGACGCGTCTTTCATCGATTTTCAACCCTTGGGTGACGTGAATGCCTATATAACCATATTTACGTCAGATATGAAATACTGGCGACAGGATGCATTCATGCATCGTTAAAGGTACTCGAGACATCCGTTATCTAGTGCTAACCGACGCGGATAATTTATGCAAACGAATTAAACAAAATCCTTCCTACAACGCAAAGTAGAACCTCGCTGCCGGGTAATATTATGGCACTAGCACGATAGTCAGCTCGATGACGCTCTTATGGAATATCAGCGCAAAATATCAATTCAATACTGCTGTGTTTCGTATGGTGTAGTGTAGTGTAGTGTAGTGTAAAGAACCGGAGACCCCTTTTACTGGAAACGCGGGGCATTCGATCTTAAACAAATTCTTCTTATAACGCAAGAGGCCAATGTAGTAGAGCCTCGCTGCTGAATATTATAGCTGCAGCACAAACTGTCGGCTCGACCAGGGAATGACCACGCTCGTACAGAATACCATAGGAAATTGCAGCATAATGCTGTGTTTCGTATGGTGAGTGTATAGAACCGAAGATCCTTCTTACTAGAAACGAGGCGTTCTATTTTGGTCCATAGTGGTGACAGCACATTTGCATTGTAATTCTTTGTCGAGGGTGGACGCCATAGCATTGAAATAACTTTAGGTGGACTCTAACCGTACAGATATAAACGGAAATAATAATATAAAAATTGCCTTACCTTCCCAATGATATGCGAGTGGTCGGTGTAACTGACATCGATCTTCATTGTAACTCGGTTGCTCTACAAGTACAAAATATTCAATTAGTGTGGTTTGTATATTTAGAAAAGGCTAAGAGTATTAGTTAACATCTTAAAAGCGTTTGGGTCAACTTAATGAAAAATTTCGGGGCCCGGACTCCCGGATTCAAATTCAAATTCCAAATTGCAGTCATACTTAGTGGATCTATATCTATTGAAGTTTAGTGTGCTTACGTGCTCAATGTCTATATCGGAGTAGAATATCATTAGTTTAGCGACTTTAATCTACATTCACATCTAATAAGTAATAAGTAGATAAACACGTGGAATAAAAGGTTTAGGTTGTTGTCATCTATTGAAGTAAATCCCCAAAAGGTCTTGTGCCCATCTAAAGATGACAAAGTAACATTCAATATTTTCAAGTCTCAAGTTTTCAAAGCAACATAAGCTGAGGCTACTGTGATACCGAGACAATTTTCCAGTCAGACGTGGTGATTACTGAAGTTGAAGTTCAACTGTTCATAGACCGAGATCCCTTCGTTATATTTTCGGCAGTGGAAAATTGACCAGGTTGGCACTTTTAATAAACGAATGTAAAATGTAACAAATTTAAAACACATTTTAGAAAATATGTATGTGTGCTTTCGTGATCTAAATGTAGGTACTTACCCTGGTATCCAATACTTGCATAATCTTTTCCCGGGCTAGTTTCACATCATCAAGTCTTCCAGCTACGCGCACATGAGGATCTATTAAAACAATAAAACATCACTGTAATGTAAGTAATCATTCCTTAACATAACCATATTGTTGTTGTAATTGTTTTTTTATTGATAAAAGTTTTAACGAACCTAAGTTTATTAAAAGATCTGCAAAATTATTACGACTAATTTCTTTAATCTTTTTGTATAACAATTCATCACATTGTTCGTTGAAAACCATATTTACTTCATTAGATAATCATAAAATAATAATAAAATTTGATTTATTTTTTTCCTAACGGACTTGTGTACGCAATAAATGAAAATGTTTGAAATGAGTGTCGCGCGCCAGGTTGGCGCCGCCGTGGCGCGTACCTTCCCGTTGCGAACTATTTGGCGCCAGCCCTTCAAAATTTTTTAAATATTTAATTTAATTAACGTTGTGCGTTCGAAAATTCATATTTTTATTTCTTCATTTGTTTTTACTAGTAATGTCGAAATTTAAATTTATAGTTCACTAGTAACAATATTAAATAAAATGAAGATATTAAATAAATATTTACACTTGATTTTTATTTATGAAACCTCACCTTTTTTAGATCTGGCACCTATTTTCAAGCGCGCCGGCCAATTTATTAACGTGTTTGTTTCATTCATCACCTATGACAATAGAAGCACACGGCCATTTTCATAAAACGAATTGCAAAAATATAAATACACAAATGTTTACTTTACAATATTATTTTTACGTACCCTATGAAAAAAAGCCTGAGCCGTTTGCGATTCTTCTAAATTTTCTGCAAAGTTTTTTTTAAATTAAAGAATACGATTAGTTATGTAGGATGATTCGCATATATGTAGGTCTCAATTAATTAAAAAATATGCATAATACCAGCCAGCATTCCCTCCAGTCTTCGCCTGTCCACGCGAAATCTTTCCTGATAAACATCTTCAGCACTGTTTAACCCGAGTATCACCGCCAGTTTTTGCAAATCTTCTGCTGACGTCACAGAATTGCTCGTACCACTTTCCGATGCCTATAATATGTTTATCCTAATATACAATACGTTTATCCTACCATTTAACAGAATATAATCAAAATCTGTGATGTAGGATTTGATTTATAATATATTATGTATAAATAAAGTATAATATTAAAAACTTAAGCACTAAGTCAACTCAAAATGGCGGAACTGTAGCTTAATTGCACAAAAAGTTTAATATCATTTTAGTATAACGGCAACAAGTAAATATAATATTATTTATTAACTCACCTCGCTCATTGTATCTCTATCCGAATTATTTTTAAATTCAGATAAGTGCGTTTTTACAGTTAAGAAATTAGTAGACGCCATAGTGAAACAGTTTAATTGTTTAAAATACGGTGGAATATTGTCAATAACTTATTATTATTACTCAATTACTCAATAATTAAATAAATTGTCTTATGGTACATTATTACAGAGAAAATACAATTTTAATATTTATGGCGGTTAACTGGAACAACTTTACGTATTGATATCACACACCCGACTAATTGAATTAAATTTGAAAAATTGAATGACTCAAAATATAAAATATTGAAGGTAGTTTCAATTTTATAATTTTTATTAACGTTGAGCTTCTAATACCCGTTAATGTACGAAAATCACTGCATTTTGGATTTTTTTACGTATAATATAAATATTATGTACTTTTATTTGATTACTATATAATATGTCCAATTAAATCAATTAAATCTATAATAAATATTTAGGTAGGTATTCTTATTTCAGAACTGCATTTGAAATGGAGGGAGTATCTAAAAATCAACCAATAAGAATACGTTTATTTAACCAAAGTTCCCGCCATAGAGGTAAGGTTCCCGCCAAGGCGGCGTCCGGCACCAAGCTGTAAATTTTTTCGAAATATTTTTTACTTTGGTCACAGAATAAATAATAGTTGCTTTAGTACTGGCATTGTACTGTTGTACTTTTGCCCGTGGCAAATATGAAATTATCCCTAATAATATTTGTTTAAAAACTTTTTCACAAAATGTTGATATGAGTATGAGTTATAATTTTCAATAATTAGTTCCATACTTAACTGTTGCAATACTTTTACGTACTTATTGAAATCCACTTCAAACTATATTACAAGACCAACATCGTTGGCAGTCAAGTTGCCGCTAAAACTAGTTTTAGAAATATTAAAAAAAAATATATTAGTTCGAGAAGATTATTAACAATACATCCATAGATCTATTATCTACTATATAATTTGCTAACTATATATTTAATTTAATTTTTATAAACAAAAAAATATGGTACGACGACGAAATGCATATGATATATCAGGTTAAAATGTTTAATGTTACAATATGAAACGTTTTTGTAATAAAGGTTATTGCTTTCTAAAATTAATATTTCTTTAATTTACAGGTATTCATTTATACAAAAACCAAGTAAGGTACTTTATTAGTTATTACTAATGTAACGAAATGATAGGTAATTATTATTGGTATGTTGTTGTATTTTGAGTGAATGCCGCATGAGGTCGCGTCAGGCAGTTCCCAGTATATATTAATTATCTATGTCTATTTTACTCTTTAGTCTATGGTCAGTCGGGTTTCTGCGTTTGACGGTGTTGGATGTGCGTGCTTCTCGGCTCGGACATTTCGATTTAAAATCTAAAGTTTATAACTTAAAGAAATCTCAATACGATTTTACTTCTTTACAAGCTAGTGTAAATATTGTTCCTGTGTCAAAACTTTTTATTTATTGTGTATTATTGCTTTTAAGTGTTAAATTATAAGGTGAGTATTTTTATACAAAATAACTTCTTGGTAAAATAAGTGTTAGAGATGAGTAATTCAGTTGTTTACATTCGAACTTTTTTAAATTATTACCTAGTTATTTGTTTATAATTCAAAGTTAAAACTTTTTATTCAATTTAGGCTGTTTATATCTATAATAAACTCGCACTCTAAATCTAAACGTGAAAATCTACAGACACCGGTTCGCAAAAACAAGACCTCGGAGAACGCTGGGCTCTTTAGTTTATTTATTTATTTTTTAAATTATTGTTACATTATTTTTACAGATTAAATAAAATGAGTTTAATGTCAAATATATATTATTTAACATAACGGTACCATATTTAAAATAAATGGTGAGACGAAGTTAGTGTTAATATTTTTAGTGTATACAGGCATCATTTATATACAATTTTTTTTTAATATCAATGAAAGTCATACATTTTATAACGCTGTCAACAATAAAGAAATTAAAAGTGGTAGCAAAATGGACGGCAGACATATTTTCAAAGCCCATACAATCTAAAACATCTATAATCATTACGATTCTGACCACTAGTTATTGTGTAAATGTTTAAACACAAAAAAAAAATGGTTTGTTTTATTAGTTGTTACTGCAATGGTATGTACACAATACTGGTAGTTCCCATGGTGCCTATTACGAGTCTTTAAATATTGTTCATTTTGATATACCTACCTAGGCACCATTTCCACAGTCTACAGAATTTAAAATACCTATGTTAGGTAAATCATTTCGGTTGTATGAACACCTATTTATTATAAAAGTTATAAAACGTCTTCAATTAAACATAAATGTCTGTCACAACTATATCTCAAATCTCTGTGAAATATTAAATTGTGTTGTAAAAGCTAAAAGTTATCCATAAATAGTTTTAGTCATTTTTTTTTGTTTATGACATTGATTGATTGAATTGATCAGTTCTCGCCGTCGTTACACGATTTATCTGCCATTACTCATCCTACACAGTTATAAAGTTATTATACAAAATATTTAAAAAAATTCATCTGCTTTTTTTTAAATTGGTTCATAGTTCGTTAATTTTAAAAAATCCGAAAAAGCTTTTAAAGACAACATAAGACAAAGTTATGGTCTTAATCTATATATTTTTTTAATAAGTAGGTACTGTAGGTACTAAAAGTATTTTTAATGAGTAAGGCGGCCAGGAGACACAGCTCCGTAATAATTGTAATGTAATCAAAAAAAAAGTTTTGTAAAACCTACAAAACTCTTCCGCATCCCTTATGTCCTGTATTCCTTAAAATCTTTTTAAAATTTTCCTCGTGTGACGTTGATGATTACCATACATATTATGTAACCTACACTATATCGGAAAATTACTTCAAGTTAACAATGCTCTGAAATTGTAAACTTACCAAAAGTGTTAAATATTTTGTAGAGTTGACCGCCTTGCCACTATGCGTTATAATTTTATGAATAAACGAATAAAATCTCGTTGTACTGTATTTATTGCAAAATTTTAAAGCTTTTGCAGCGAAGTGTCGAACGGTTGGTAGCGGCGCTGTATGGATCCCTGGATGGATGGGTTGGAATCCCACACGGATCGAGTGTGGGATTGCATGGCCTACAAATAATTGATCCGGGTTTGGATGTTCGTCCTTGTTCAATTACCGTATGTAAAACTACACGATACAAGAACAAATCTAACTGGGGAATCTAAAAAGGTTGACGTAAATTCGTCGGCGAAAAAAATATACATCATAATGTTATCTAAGAAATTTAAAATACCCTTGACAATTATAAATTTCCTAGTAGGTACATGTACATTTTGAAGATGACTGCAGAAGACTGCAAATATAATTAAAATTATATAGTCATAACTTAGAGATAGTAGACAGTTAATATTTAGGTGTTTGGTTGGACAGGTCGTTGCGTTGGAACAAACATATTAAAATGACGGCTGAGAAAGCGCAAAGAAGCCTTAATATACTTAAAATATTAGCTGGTGTTTCCAGGGGCTTGCATCCTAAACATTTAAGACATTTAAATAGCACTGATCAGAAGTCGTACAGACTACACCTGCTATTTGTATGACGCAAGTGCAAAATGTCATTTAGATAAATTAAATAAAATTCAAAATGAGGCACTAAGGGATAATAGGAGGATTTATTAAAACTACTACAATTCATGTTATGGAAAGTGAGCTTGGTGTAGTTCCGCTGTACTAATGGAGGAAGTATCTAGCATACAAATTATGTCTGAAGTTTGCAGAAAATATTTTAACTACTCAGGTATTAGATGAACTCTACACTCTTCGACAAAATTGTTATCGGAGAAACAAAACCATTCCTTAACTTGTATCCTCATATAATGAACTTAAATAAATCCGGATAGCATCATCATGTCCTTTATTAATGTTTACTTTGCGAACATGGGTGACCAATATTAACGTAAACGATGTATGATTAAAACTACTTTTACGGATTTTATCGCGTTTATTTTTACTTTTTTATTTACTTTTATTTTTAATTCCCGACGTTTCGGGCGCTTTCCAGCACCCATGGTCACGGGGGACTGAGATGACTGACGTCCCGATGTCATTGTTAAACCCGGAGTACCTTCAGCTTTTTTAATTATTGTTTATGGTCCGATCTATGCAAAATGACACTATGTCCTGAGGTCTTGCAGTGGTATGCTTGGGTTTAGTTTTAATTTTATTGATTATACGATCCCAAGCAGGTGGTAGTACCCAGCCTCCTTCTCTATTGAAATTAGGATGTTTTTTAATTTCAATAGCCTCACGTATCATCCTTGGTAGGAATTGGTGTTCTTTCGCGAGGATTTGTGGTCTATCAAATCTGACGTAATGGTTGGGTCCGTCTAGGATATGATCACAAACTCGCGAAAGAACACCGATTCCTACCAAGGATGATACGTGAGGCTATTGAAATTAAAAAACATCCTAATTTCAATAGAGAAGGAGGCTGGGTACTACCACCTGCTTGGGATCCTATAATCAATAAAATTAAAACTAAACCCAAGCATACCACTGCAAGACCTCAGGACATAGTCAGTTCATTTTGCATAGATCGGACCATAAACAATAATTAAAAAAGCTGAAGGTACTCCGGGTTTAACAATGACATCGGGACGTCAGTCATCTCAGTCCCCCGTGACCATGGGTGTTGGAAAGCGCCCGAAACGTCGGGAATTAAGAATTAAAAATAAAAGTAAATAAAAAATAAAAGTAAATAAAAAGTAAAAATAAACGCGATAAAATCCGTAAAAGTAGTTTTAATCATGTATAGTGTTCGCGTAAATATAAGAAATCATTATGTAAACGATGTAGTTATACCTAATCTAGAAACGATCCAATATTCAAAAAATTCATATGACAGTAACCTATTAAAATATGAAGTTATTAAAGAGTTGTATACAAAATTTAATGGCTGGAGTTTTATATTTACGGATGGGTCGAAAAGTATAGAAGGGCGGGGGTCTGCATTTTATGTGCCTAATATAGATATAATACAAAATAAAAATCATCATTGTTTTAAAATAAGACATATGTTATCAGTAGC